TCTTGCACCGGCCGTTTTCAAGGAGCGTTGCTTGTAATGACTTGAGCAAATGTTTCCGTTCGGAAACCCGTTTTTGTTTGGAGGGAGGTTGTATTGTGCGGCGCAGACCACTGACATGGCAATCTTCGGAACTAAGCTTGAGCTGAGGGTAAATTATTATTTGCAATCTGGAAACCTTCCAAACTGTTTTTGGCTTTAGCAAATAAAAGAGCTTGTTGAAGAACTTGAAGAAAGAACTTAAACTGAAAGAAAGAACTTGAAAATACTTTGAAACAAAGTATTTTGAGTGTACTTAGGCTCACAAAGAAAATACTTCGTAATCCACGGACTGGTTCTTCGGATAACAAACTAAATAGTTTTTACCTTGCATGGTCAAAATACTTCGTACGGTTTCCAGCGTGTGTCACTGGACTGTCGAGACTCATGCTACTTGGAGTGCAGTGGCAGTGGACACCCGCACTACAAACCTAACTGTCTACTTAGTACACACTTACAAACGCATGCTTTGGCAAGTACACACTTACAAATGCATGCTTGGCAAGTACACACTTACAAACGCATGCTTAGCATAGGCGTTTGTAAGTGACAGCAATGTCCAGGGGGATAATCAAGGCAGATGAGACGCGATAACTGAATACGCTTGTAAACAGAGGGCAACACTACACTTGAGCGTTTTTTCTGCGAGGGGGCCGACTGCGTATCCTTGTCGGCCGCTGCCCATCGCGCACTGCGGCCCGACATGCTGCCTACGCCCCCGGCGCGTGAAGTCCCCAGGCCAGCCACACAGTGGGTCAGAAGACCGGTGGAGGCGGTCCAAAGCTCCGGACGCGTTTTGAGCTCTAAAGTCGCTACGTGGGACTCGAGACGAACGAACGTGTGACCCCATCGATTGATTCCTTGTTCGGAGAGCAATCTACATATTGGTGGGGCCACATGTTCGGTTCGAGCGCCATTTGGTGACTCTCCGGAGTTCAAAACCCTCCGATTGCGAGCCGAAAAGGGTCAGCAAGAATTTCGAACGTCTTGTGTTGGTAGAACTGCCGCAAGCAGGGCTGCATGCAGACATTTAGTCTGTCTTTTTCTCTCTCCACACTGAGAATAAAACAAATACATCCCTATGTCAGTGCAGCGAGCGCTTCCATAGTTTTCGGAATGAAGGGGTTCCCGAATGCACCAATTGTATGATTGCCCTTTTCCACGAGTCGTTTGAGCGATTTGAGACGGTGTTATGTTAGGCTGCCCTCGCCCTCTTCTTCGTTATTCTACTCCCCCCTACCAGTGTATTTCTGTTCGTACTCCTGTGGTTTGTTTTTCTATACTCTCCGTTCCGAGCTCTCTTCCCAACCACGGCCTGCTTGATATTCTTCTTTGGGATCGCCAACCATCTCTACTCCTCCTCTTTCTCCTCCTCCCTACCCCTCCCCCAGAAAAAAGCAAGAAAAGTACCAACTACATTGTCTGGGGTGCTCTGAAAGTTGGCGTCTTTTGACGCTATTGCCTTAGTTTTTGTAGCGCCTTTAGGCGCATCGCCAGGAGGCGCCTTACACTGCAAGAAAAAACCGCCACAAAAGTACACAAATTTCTGGCAAATTTTTTGTCAGGAATATTTTGTACTTTCAAAGAACAACAATTGTTGTACTAAAGTACAATGGGACCGGTATGACAAGTGCTGTACAGTCCAGGCCTCGTTGTGGTTTGTACAGTGCTCGATGTACTTTATACACAATCCCTGTTGTACTTTTGTTGTACAGTTTTCGTTGTACTTCACTGGTAAAACAAAGGCATAAAAATTACGCCCTTTAGGGCATAAATACTCTTTTACGCCCTTGCAAGGGCATAAATCGTTTATGCCCTTGGGAAGGGCGTAAATGGTATAGGAATTTCAAGCAAAATTTTAATGCCCTTCCCAAAGGCATTAACGATTTATGCCCTTTAAGGGCGTAAATCGTTTACGCCTTTCAAGGGCATAATTTTAATGCCTTTGTTTCACCAGTGATTTTGTTGTACTATTCGCACACTTTTACTTGCAGTGTAGTGCGTGCGATCTACCGAATACTCCTTTTCTCGAGATGCACAACGGTTTCCGAGGTTGTACTCTTGGTTGCACTGGTCAGTTGAGTCGGTTGCGTCTTCATGACTCATGCTGTCCTTTGCACAGCTGTGCGGTCGTACGCGGCACCCGCCCGACCCGGTCACGGCAGGCTCAATTAGGGCGAATAAAGAGACAGAAGGCGCCCCGCCCCGCCCCGCCTCGCCCCGCCCCGGGGGGCCCGGGCGCTCCACGGCCGCGACCTAGAGCTGCTGGCTTGCGCCTTGTTCTCGTTGACGTCGTCGAGGGCGCCGCCGCCGCCCGCCTGGGGGGCATCCCGTTCAGCCACATGGACCGAAAAAGCGCGGTGCAGTGCCGGGACGGTGCGAGGCGGGGCGGGGCGGGGCGGGGCGGGGCGGGGCGGGCAAGGCGCAGTGGGGCACATGGTGGGTGGCGTCCGAACGGCCCGAGGCGGCGCCTCCAACGCAGCCATGGGAATTAAACTCGCGAGTTGTTGCGGCGCGCCCGGCCCTGGGAAAGCATGGGCTTCCAGGGAGTGGTCAGGGCGGGAGGGGGGGGGGAGCGGTCTTGCATTAAGGTTCCGAACAAACGGAATCACGCACAGCCGATCTGCAGAGCGATATCCCATCATACGTCCAGACGGTGTGGACTTTCTCCGGCTATGGACCTTACTTGGGATAATAAGGGACACGGATTAAAAATGGGACATCTTTCTCCTGGACGAGATTTGACACTTTTTGTGTAATTAGTGTAATTTTCCAATCTTCTCTTCTATGAAATGACTGGCATCGAGGCTCCAAAATTGGTACCGCAAGACAGATTACTCCCCCCCCCCCAAAAAAAAAAAAACCACGTTTCTTGCCCCTCGTAAAACGAACAAATTAAAACTTGTAAATAAAATTTAACAAAATTTACTAAAAAAAACTAATAAAAAATTTACAAGTTTTAATTTGTTCGGTTTTACGAGGGGCGTCCAGCCGTATGTCCCAGTTCGTTCTGCCTCAGCCAGTCGCATGAAAACGGCGGCCTCGGCTGGACTCGTCTCTCGCTATTATTCAAATCGGGACGTGCATCCTTCCTGGCTCGTGGGACAATTCTGATCAGGATTGCTGAAAAAAAGATTTGTCTCGTGTCAAAATAAAAACAGATCACCAAAACGGAGCACCTTGCCCACCCAATGAAAGTCAGTGTCTTGATGAATGCCCAATTGGAGCGAGGTAAATTTTCTCACCCTTATTTGAGTGGGAATCATTAATCACTCAAATTTGGATGAGAATCATTTTATTGTCGGGAAGAACTCCTCGCTCAAAATTTAAGTCCTGCTTATGACTCTTTCATTCTCAGTGTAATTTTGGTCCAGTGGCTAAAAACATGACCGCAGTGCCACAGTACCTAGTGAACCTATATCGAATTTCCATATTTCTCTCAGTGTCGGTCAAAGTTACCCTGTTTATGGCACCGGCTTTTATTGCAAGCGCGTTGTTTCTTTTGCGATTCTGCCTCAAGGTGTTACTTTACGAGTCGTTGGGCCCTCGCAGCAGAGCAAGTTGCTGCCGGTCGGATCCCCCGTCGCGAATATCGCCAACGAGGGGCGTAAGTGAGTCATGAAGCAAGGGGACGGGGGTGGAAGGGGGCGTAGCAAGGAAGAGGGGGCGGGGGAAGGATCTCCGAGGGGTCCAAGGGGGCGGGGGCCGAGGCGTCGCGTCATGTGCCATGGCGTGCCCCGGCGGGCCACGGCGGGCCACATGTGCCGCGGCGACCGGAGCTCCGCGGCTTACAGTGGCAGGCCCGCCAGTCGTCTCTCTGACTCGCCGTGGACGCGTCGCCGCCAGCCTGACCTGCTCGCGGAGCTGTACCGATGGCGAGGACGAACTGACTGCCCGACCGGAACAAACCTCCACCCACCCGGTTTTGTTTTTGTTGTTGTTCGCGGTGGCAAGAAGGCGGGGCCGTGTTGTTGTTGCTGGAACGACGCGGAGGACGGCGTGCACCTGTCACAGCGGCGCGCGGGCGTGACGCGGTGACGCACGCCTCTGGCAGCGCCACTGGCAGTGCCTCTGGCAGCGGCGAAAGGCCCAAAGGGGCTCCGGATGGACGGACGCGGACGTGCGAGTCGGCACGCGCCACGAGCCGCCGAGCCAGCCTGGGGGTGGACGGCCTGGACGGCCTGGACGGCCGCGGCGGGGGTCCAGTGAAGCCGCAGCACCGACCGGGGCAGCGCCGTCAGCAAGCCAACGAGCCTTCAGCAAGCCTTCAGCAAGCCTCCAGCACGCTCCAGCAAGCCTTCAGCAGACCTTCCAGCAAGCCTCCAGCAGGCCTTCCAGCAAGCCCGCAGCAAGCCTCCGGCAAGCCTCCCGCAAGCCTCCAGCAAGCCTTCAGCAAGCCTTCAGCAAGCCTTCAGCAAGCCTCCCGCAAGCCTCCAGCAAGCCTTCAGCAAGCCTTCCAGCAAGCCTTCAGCAAACCTAGCAAGCCTTTTAGCAAGCCTCCAGCAAGCCTTCAGCAAGCCTCCAGCAAGCCTCCAGCAAGCCTCCAGCAAGCCTTCAGCAAGCCTTCAGCTAGCCTTCAGCAATCCTTCAGCAAGCCTCCAGCACCGAGGAGGCAACCACTTTTGATGTTTGAGGACACACGATTTTTTCAGGCGAGAGATTTCCTTGCATGTCGCAAGAAGGCCTCTAGCACCCTCAGCCAGCTTCAGCAAGCCTTCGACAGATCTAAGCAAGCCTCTTGCAATTCTCCAGCTCACCTCAGCTAGCCCTCAGCGAGTGCCTAGGACTTCACGACTTCATCTAGCCTCCATGAAGTAACGAGATATCGAGGAGACCACAGAGAGACCCCAGGGACGCGTTGCCGTCCACCATCGAGTCTGCAGAGCAGGAGCGAGGCTGAAGCAGGTCGCTTGAATGGAGTGGAACTCGCGGAAGACCAGAGGGTTGCCGCCAGTCCCGCTGCCCGTGGTTCTCGACCATGGGCGTGGCTGGCGTGGCCAGGCACCTCGCCGCGGTGGCCGCGACGCCGGACGCCTCCAAGACCGCCGTCCCCCTGCCGCTCATCCCCGCCTGGCTCATGTGCTGCTACTTCGTGATCGTGGTGCTGGGCGGCGTCGTCGCCAACGTGCTGCTGCTGGTGACGATCCTCCGGTGGCGCTGCGGACGCCGCGGGGAGTCGCCGAGTTTAGGTGTGTTGCGTCACTGCACTGTGGTAGAATTGAAGCGTACACTCTTGATTTGGCATGCCCTGAAACTGGACGCTTGTGTCACCCACTCCACTTTTAAGAGCGCCAAACATCACCCAGTTTCTGGGCACCTTTGTCGCCTACTCTGCAAACTCAACAGTGTACTCAGTACACTCTTTTTAGCGTGTACTCATGAGTACACTCCTAAGAGCGTATACTCAGCTGCATAGGGTAAACTATACAGTTACCGTCAGTTTAAGAGCATCGCTTTCTTTTCAAGGGCCTTTAGGGTAGGTTATGACACTTAGACCCGTGCGACTTGTTCCAGACACCTCAGAAGGATCTAGACAACGAAGTGGCTGACAAAGATTTCACTAAAAACTTTTTGTGACGTTCTTATTTAACCTGAGAAAAAGGTTACCAAAAACACAGTAATCGGCAGCCAAAATACAGTTATCGGCACCCTTTGTGACAGTTATCGGCACCCCTTGTTAAAAAGGCAAAACATTACCGAGAGTGACGATAATTTCTAACAGTCGTCAGGCATCACTAACGGACGCGTACTTGCAGAGCAGGACCCAATCATTCGCCGAGATGACGATAACTGTACCCCTGCCGATAACTGTAAAGTTTACCCTATATTTGCAGGCGTAATAAGGCGTGTACTACTGATCTGAGCACACTCTCGTCGGAGAGTGCTCATCTCAGCACCGTTCTTCCTCGTTGAAGTGTACCCGGCAGCGCAAAGGGTGCCAGCCAAGCCAAAGGTGTCCAGAATGGGCTCCTTGGTCGTCCAGAAACCAGGCACCTTTGCATGCTCTATAAACCTACAACGACCGCCTCTGGATCCGGCCCTGGTTGTTGCAGGCCGCTGCGACCAGCACCTGGACTCGGACGCTGACGACGCGGACCCCGGCCGGGACAAGGGCTGGTGGATCCTCGTGGCGCAGACGGCCGCCACGGACGCGCTGACGCTGTGCTTGGTGTCGGGCGGCGAGCTGTGGTCCTTGCGGGAGACGGGCGGGCCGTGGCGCCTGCCCACCGCCCTGTGCGCGCCCTTCATGGGCCTGGAGGCCATGCTCGGCGCCGCGCAGACCTACCTCCTGGCGGCCGTCGCGCTGCACGCCTGGGCCGCCCCCGCCGACCCCGTGCCCAGTAAGGCCACCATGCTGCACGCCGACTACACGCTGACGCCGAACAGCGCTTTCGTCGCTCTGCCTCTTTCCCCAGGGGCGGATCCAGAGACGGGTTCAGGGGGTGGGGGCGATGTCGCAAAAGCTGCCTACCTACAGGGGCTAAGTGCGACTAGTTGCCTACCTTTCAGCCCCCCTCCCGTGGATCCGCGCCTGTCTCTCCCACCTATCCTATGAGTGCGAGAGAGACAGACGCCGAAAGAGCTGCTTGGAGTCAGCCAACTGAGCGCCAGCGGACTCATTCCGAGAGTCGTTTTTGTCACTCTGCCTATCTCGCTCTCATGGGGCGTCGGGGGAATCAGCGTCTGCTGGCGCTCAGTGGTAGTGTTCTGGATTAGGTGGGCGGTCTTAACCCGATGACTCTAGAGCGAGAGTCATGCTAGAGTCTTCCGGTTCAGACCGCACACCCAATCCAGAACACTACGTACAGTACTCCGTTTGCTGGCTCCGAACTGCTCTTTCGTCGCTCTGCCCTTCTCGCACCCCGGTAGGTACGAGAGGGACAGAGGGACCAGAACGACTCAGCCTGCTGAGCGCGTGCCTTTGGCGCCTTTGGCTTGCAGGCTTGTGGCGGCAGGTGACGCGGTCCGCCGTGGTGCCCAGCGCGCTGGTCTGGATGCTGGCCTCGTCGGTGGCGGTGCCGCGCACCTTCCTGGCCGTGGCCGTGTGGCCGAGGCCATCGCTGCCGCTGTGCACGCTGCTGCCGACCTCGCCCACGACGGGCGCCCTGGAGGGCCCGCTGGACGTGGTGGTCACGGCCTCGTCGCCGGGCCCGGGGCCCTCGGGCTCGTGGTGGCCGCTGGGGTCCGCGGCCGTGGACGCCCAGGGCGGCGGCCCGCTGCTCTCGGCCGTCGTGCTCTGCGTCGTGCCCTCGCTCGTGCTGCTGGCCTCGGCCGCGGCCACGGCCTTCGCCGCCGTCATGACGGCCGTCAGAGCGAGGCTTCGTGGCGGCGCACGCGGGCCGGCCTCGGCCACGGCCTCGCCACAGACGCCGCCCTGCCCCCCGCACAAGGAGGCCCGGGTACGTAAACCACAGCACTCGTCGCTCTGTCTCTCTCGCACTCTCGGGGCGTCGCGCAGCCGGAAGGGCGCGAGAGAGACAGAGCAGTGCTCGGAATCGGCGTGCAGAGCGCGTCTCAGGGAAGATTTGCGGCCCTCCGGGGCGAAAATGAGTGATCATCTGACAGAACAACGTATCATCATAGGGAATCCCATAGTAGATACGTACGCTGTCATGTACGAATGCCACACAATTGACGTCTCACAGTGTGCCGCGCCTGTCTTGCAGCGGGAGTGGGTCCGCGTGTCCGGCTGGCTGTCCGCGTCCTGGGTGCTCATGTCGCTGCCGCGGCTGGCCGGCGCCGCGGTGCACGGCTTCCTGCACCCCGACCACGGCGTCGAGGTCGAGGGCCTCGACATGGACATCGGCCCCGGGGCGTTCCGCGCGCCGCCACTGGGGTCGCGCGGCCTCGGCGACGCGGCGCTGCTGGCCGCCGCCATGCTGCACTACGCCCTCACCGCCGCCAGGCCCGTCATCGCCGTGCTCGTCAGCCCCGCGCTGCGCCGCGCCCTCGTCGCCCTCAAGGACGCCCCCGCCGAGGACCGCCAGCAGCGCGCCGACGCCGCGGACTCGGAGGACAGGGACATCATGTTGGGCTGAAGTGCTGGTCAGGCGCGGATCCAGAGGCCACTTTTCTTTTGGCGCGGGGGGGGGAGGGGGGAAGACGATAGCACCTTTACACTTCATTCAGGGGCAAAGTATGGCTACCTTTCGGGCGGTTGAACTTGACCGTGTGTGCCCGGGGGGGGGGGGGGGGCAAACAGGGCAAACAGCCTGTGGTCTCCCCCTCTCGCGCTTGAGCTGGAAGTTCTGTTCAGGCGTGCATCCAGGGATGGGGAGATCGCACGAGCCGCCAGAAAGATATAGGCAAAAAGTCGCAAAAGTGGGCAACTTCAGCGACACTGTCCCCTCTGAACCCATCTCAGGATCCGCCTTCGATGCTGATGGAATTGCTCGGCTGCTTGGGCCGCTGACGATTTACTACCGCCCGGAAACATGACCGGATCAAGGCGCAGAAACTTGAACCGTGACGCCCGGATGCCCACGCCGCCTACGGATAAAAGCCTTACTCTGGTTTCGTTTTTCTCCTTTAGGGTCCGGCCCAATACAAGGTAGAGGGCACGCGGTGCGTCTCCGTCCCCCGATGGTAATGGCAAATAGCGCCGGGCAGGTAGGCAGCAACCTGTGTCGCAACACACCGGTGTGGGGGTGGTGGCCTACCTTGCCCCCGTGACGTAAAGCCCTAGGGCTTTACCGTGACGCAGCTGCAATCGCGGTGTTCTGGCCGCCCAGAGCAGTCATTTATAGTTCTCCTGGCCAGAGGCTAGCTGACTGTCGTACTGAATTGTGCCCGTACAGGCACGTTTTGTTCGTACATTGCGCCAGAGAGAGATGTGTGTGCCATCCAGCATTTTGGCTCAAGAAGACTGCTCAAGAACGGTTGATTGATGAAGTTGAAATTCAATCAGAGTGGTTCTTAAGCCCACCGGAGGAGGTGATCTCCTTCAGGTCTGTGGAGGAAAATGATTAATTTTCTCCGCTTGGAGATCTATGAGAAACTTACTGTTTGCAACAACCTATCTGTGATCTTATGTGAGACTTAAATGAAACAGTGACTTTAAACTGTCAGACTTTCTTTCATTCATTTGTGATGGATGATTGGTGTCAGTGTCATTGTGTGGAACATCAGGTGACATGAAAACATTCAGCAAACACCGAAGTAATCTTTTTCTTAATTTATTATGGTTATAAAAAATAAACGAGCATTCAGAATTCACATGGATCACTTTTTCTATTGCCTGCTGACATCCAAAAGCACAACTAAAAAAGGAGAAAAATAATTTGACTCACAGCTATGTGCAGCTATGCACGGTATGAATGTTGACGTCACCAGTCAGTTCAGTCATTGACAATATTGCTCAAAAGAACGTCACGAGCAAGCACAAAAAATTTTCTATATAGATCCAAAGTGGAAACTGCACTTGCAGCTGCTCTCAACAGTTGCAAGTGCAACAGGAAAAAAAAAAGAAAAACAGGAACAATCACACAATTAACGCTTTGACATTGACAATTAAGAATCTATTGACTACAGGCACTTTGGTATACCGAAAATAGAACTATACTCAAGATGTCACAAATTATAAATTCAATCATTCATTAAGTACAGTACACATTCACATGGAATAATAATTGGTCACAATACAGGATCCCAGAAAAATATATAAAGGGATACAGTATAATTAAAAACAATAAATGAGAGATCAGTTTTAAGACAGTGAAGGTACTTTGATAGGTGACGAAAGATTCATCTTTGAAGGCGATGACACATTTCTTTGTTTTCCTAGATTGGCCACTGCATCAGAAATTTTGGCTTCACAGGTCAAGAAATCAGCTGCCATCATTTCTAGATCTTTGTCAGCATCTATGACCAAAACCTGGAAAAATTAAGAAGGTAGAGTTGTACTCATTTAAAAAAAACGGCTACACATTAAAATTTCTAGATTGTAGAAGAGAACATACCGGAGCAGGACAATTGAAGGACTTTCTATGATACAACCAATCTTCATGAAACTGGTGCAACTTTTGTAAGTAATCTAAAGGTACACAGCTTTCTTCAGTTCGAGCTCGAGACAGCATTCTCTTGTGCACCACTTCTGGGGTAGTTCGGAGGTAAACTGAAGCAAAACAATAAAGGGTTAATTAAAATCAGGTCAACACATACCCAACATAGAATCAAGTGATGCAATTGTTTGTTGAAAGACTCTTGTCTTTAGAAACAGAAGGGAGGTATCTTACTAATTAAATTGCCAGCAACATCGTGATTCTTCAAAATCCAATTGAACCACTCATCTAAGGCAATGAAATCTGGGTTGGGCATCAGACCACTAGAATGTAGGTTTTCAACAAAACAGTACCTAAAAGAAAAGGAGAAAGGTACTTTTGTCATTGGTTTCCAGTATGATTTGAAGAATTAATAAACGGGGCGGGCCAAAAAATGATACTCCAACCAGCATCCTTACTTACCTTGCACTATGTATTGACCTCTCCATCATTTTAATCGGACGTTCCACAGGCTTGGTGTGTAAATCTAACATGGTCAGCTGAACGTAAGTTTGGAATGTTATCCCCCACCTTGAAGGATCGGAATACATTAGGTCCTGTAGGTGTTACAAAGATCATTACAGATTTCAGAAGGTGGAAATGGTATGAAAAATAATACTTTCCTTACACACAAAGGTACCATACCAAAAAGTTTTCGCCTCTAACTTCACGCCACCGGTCAACTGGTTCAGCTAAAGTCACAACATTGTCGAGGGCAGCAAAGTGTTTTAGAAAGGTGGTTTTGCCACTGCCGATGTTTCCCTCCACAAAAATGGTGAACGGTTTGGAGTTTCCTTTCGACATCTTGCTCAAAGATGCTGAAAACAGACAAAATACATTCTGTTAGTGGAAGTCAAGAGCAAAAGCAGACTACCTACAGACGGACTGAAAGAAAAATCCTTCAAAATCTACAAAAAGCAGGTCAGAAATCCACAAGAAGTGCATGTTTAGAGAGCCTGCATTTAAACCTTTTCAAGCAAATAGTGTTTACAAACCAAATAACTGGCGGCAGTGAGCGAAGAGGGAGGAAAAGCACGAAATTGTGAGCGTCTTACCTTTCCCTGAACACGTCGGTACTACTCTGGCGCCAAAATGTCTGAGTTCGTTTGTCATTTGCATGAGAGTGTTGGGCAGGAATCTCATCATCGTTGAATAACCTAGCGAAACCAAATACCCATTGCGAAAGCTGACGACACACTGAGTTATCTAAGTTGAAACGAAAACAAGTCCGGATGCTTTTCAACTTGAAGTAATTATAAAACGGAGCTCGATTTGAAAGAAAAATTACAGCACCAACAATAGAATACACACAGCCTAGCAGACAACAACGACACACGTTGTTTGGTTTTTTTCTTTTTTGTTTTGTTGTGTTCCAGGACAGCCAACACACTAAAGCTAACTGACCGAAAACATTACAATGCTTTCCAGAGAAACGTATAAATTTATTTCATTTTAAATCAAAGTAAAACCGGAGTTGTGTTTAAAAATTGAATGTGGCGTCAGAAGGTAGTTTAAAACTGTACCCGTCGCGTCGTTGGTTTTGTTGTGTTGCCGTCTTGGAGTTCATTTGTTTGTTGTGGCGGTGGCAGTGGCAGCGGTGGCGGTAGCTTCGGTCGGCGCCGAGGAGAGGAGACGACGCGATACCTGTCAAAACTTGCTAGGCGCCTCATTCTCTTCTCGGGTCTGGGAAGACGCAGCTTCTCGTCATGTAAGTTCACATTCGATACTGTCCATTAAGATCTGATTGTTCATTTTTCTGACATTTCGTTTGAAGTCGCAGAGTGTTTTGGTCATAATTCTCATTGGAACTACTGTCGCCTTATAGGTTAGGCACACAGTGCATTTACTTTGATGGAACTATTTAAAGCATTTTCCTAAAGTTTTTGTTCTGAATGACTACAACAAGTGCGAAAACCGCCTCCAAATTTGTCAAATCTTCAACTGGCCCTTTTAAGTCCTATGTTGTTTCTTTGCTTGTGGTTCTCATTGTTCATCAAATAAACAAATTTCTATCTCATTCCTCCTCTCTGTCTCCATTCTCTTCTCTGCATTATGGAAGTGGGTGGTGGTTTTCTAATGTGATCCATGCTGGAACACGTCGAGGAAGTATTTCACATTCTCGGTTTACAGAACTCGAAATTCTAGCATCCCCTTCAATTGGTCAAACTCTTCAAATGGCTTCTTTAATTTCTTCCCTGTTTTTTCACATTCTAGTGTTTCAGTCTTTGAATGCACTTTGTTTTTCTTTTTCAGTGTCTGCACAATGGAGCAAAGGCTCCAAAATGATGAACTTTTTAAGATTGTCAAAAATTTTCATGAGAAAGAAATTTGTCAAGGTGCTTTTCATCAGCACCCTGCTCTCTTACCCAAGTTACGGCCCTATCAAGAACAAGCAGTGCAGTGGATGCTTAGCAGGGAAGAAAAAACTATAGAAGAAGATTTGGATTTCAGTATGTATTACTTAGTGTTTTCAATAAATATTTCTAATAGAACTATGAGTGAAGGAGATGAAGGGAAAAAAAGCTCATAAACAGTGCCAGTATGTAATTGGATTGTTGAGAGGTTTCGGCAGGTTTGACTTACTATATGAAACTTGCTTTATTTTTTTTGGATTGAATATGTTTCTGGTGATTTCTATTCCACTTCTTCACCATGGTTTCTGTTTTAAATGTGCATGTCATTACAGTGCTTTCTTACTGTGAATGCCCTCTCTTCATTTTAGTTGAAACAGATGTCATACCGTCTAGTTCGACTGATGATGTTAGAACCCTACCTATTGTCAGGATTCCCACTGGAGGTATCCTTTCGGATGAAATGGGTCTTGGCAAAACAGTGGAGGTTCTTGCATGTGTTCTTCACAATCCTCGGATCGATGTTGTATGTTTAAATTATTTTCAACAACTGTTTTTTATTATTTTGTGCTGTGGTAGTAGTCCTGAAGGTTTATTTATGTTTCTTTCCTAGGTTCTACCTCAGGATAACTCCAATCTTGATTCTAAGATGGAGGGTGAGAGCGACTCCGATGAAGAGACCCTGGCAATGCGCTGCAGGCAGAGTGCTGCTACAAGAAAGGTTTGTGTGTGAATGTGTTAAAGCAGACTGTAAAACTTAAAGTGTCTAAGAGAAAAATTCTTAGCAAATTTGGTGTTTTAAGTGTCAGCTCTTTTTACTGGAAACGTGAAATTTAATTAGTTTCCTGGTATGCATTCAATTTCTTTATTGCTAGTACATTTTTCCCAGTCCCATTTTAGCAGTTTGCATTTCAAGCATGTCTCAGAGAGTGTTGGAAGGGATTACCTGTTGAGTATTTCAATCTCAAATATATAGGGTAGAAATTAATTTTAATATGTTCTCAATATTACAAGTATGTAGAATATTAATTAGTCAACAAATTTGCAAACAGTTCAATTAGAAAAGCTAAAATGATTAATTAGTGTTTTAAATCATAATTCTCCTCATGAGTCATATCTGACATAGTGTTTTATGATTTTCAGAAAAACAGGGAAATGCGTGCGAAGAAAAGAGCTCAGAAAAGAGGTGAGAGTGTGGATTTTAAAGAACCATCGTCTAGTATTGGAAAATCTGAAAATGTGGTCATGCCAGAAACACTTGATGATGTGAAAGTGAGTGAACCCTCTCCAGATACTTTTTTAGATGTAAAGGTAGTAACCAGTACTACTCTTGCAAAAAAAGTAAGCTTTGCGGAAGAGGCTTTAAAAGAGGAGGCAGAAATTAAAACAGAAGAGTGTGAAATTATGGTCACAGATGATAATGATGCCCCTTTAAAGAAAAATTCTAATAACAAAAAGGTATGTTGTTTGACTAGGGAATTCATTACATTGTTAAGTGTTACCGGGAAGACAAAGAAATTTGTCTAAATTTTATCCGAATTTCACAGTTGGACTCAGGATTACCTAAAAAGAGGACTAAAGCTATTAAAAGAAGTGCCACTGATATTAAGGAGTCTTGCAAACGACCAAAGAGTGCTAGCAGACAACTTGCTCAATTGTGGTAAATGTTAAATATTTAAAATCCCAATACTTCCTCTTCAGTCAGTTTTGTTTTCAATTCAAAATGTTCTTTTTTTTTCAGGTATGAAAGTAAGCTGTCTGAAGTACACAAAAATCCCATAAGAGCTGCCTACGAGGCTCTTGCTGAAAGCAGTTCGGGGCATTCAGCTCTAGATGTCCAGTGCATTTGCACTGAAAATCAGGAGAGTCAGTTAACTGTGACCAAATGTGAAGACTGCTCACGTTTGATGCACAAAGAATGTATTGGTGCTACTAAATGGATTGGATCACAACCTGTTTACTGTCCTCAGTGCTGGCTTAAAAAGGTTAGAAAATTTTCTTAGGTGTGATTGATTGCATTTATCCTCCAAGGCTTGAAAGCTAACATTTATTGTCTCTTTTGAAAATCTTCCAGACTCCTGTTAAATCTCGAGCAACCCTCATTGTTTCCCCCACATCCATTAGTGGTCAATGGCTTCAAGAGGTCAAAAAACACATCAGTGTGAAAGAAAACTTCAAAGTGCTTGTGTACAAAGGGGTGAAGACTGATGGCTTTTTACAGCCATACTTCTATGCCGACTATGACCTGATTCTTACAACATATGATGTCCTTCGCCGTGAGCTAGTGCTGTCTGAAGTCCACAAAGGTCGAAGTTTACGGTTTGAGAAAAGATACTTTACACCGACGTGCCCATTGCTGTGTGTTGATTTTTGGCGTATTTGCCTTGATGAGGCCCAGATGGTTGAAGGAACAGCCTCCAAAGCGGCAGAAATGGTTTCTCGCCTTTCTGCTGTTCATCGTTGGGCTGTCACTGGAACTCCCATCCAGAAGAGTCTCCATGATTTATATGGCCTCATTCTATTCCTTTGTGTGGAGCCATACAGTGATCATGCTTCCTGGACTCAGAAATTGTATAACCCTTATTGCACCGGCATAAAGTATCCTCTCTACACTCTCCTGGCCCACATAATGTGGCGGTCTTCTAAAGTGGATGTCCTTGACCAGATTAAGATTCCTCCCCAGTCAGAGCTCTTATGGTGGCTTAACTTCACCCCTGTAGAAGAGCACTTTTATTTGCGTACTCATCAGGAATGCTCAAATGATTTTCTGGAACGCTTATCCAAATTTCACTCTTTGAGTGAGACTTTGCACTCTTTCCCCATTTCTACAGTAAATCATGTTCTGGGACCGCTTCTGAAGTTAAGACAAGCCTGCTCTCATCCCCAGGCTGTTCGAGGAAATGTTATTGCCAATCAAAAGAATACTATGACCATGACTGAGCTGTTGGAATCACTCATCAAGAAAACAACAATCGAAGCCCAAGATGCCCTTCGTAAGCACATTGCCTCTCTCAATGGCATGGCAGGTCTACACATAATCTGTAATGAATATGTGTCAGCAGCGGAGAAATACAGAGAAGTCCTTCGCATCACTGAGGAATACAAGGAACGCTTCAAAGTTGACACTCTTCAGAAGATACATACTCTCAACAACTTAGCAGAAGTGATTGAAAACCATAGAGAAATAATACCTCCTACATTGCGTGATGATAAGCTGAGGGAGGAGGCCAAACAGTTGGAAGAAAACTACATGTCTAAAGCCCAACTTGCAGTGACATCAGTGGAGGAATCTTTGGTTGGGTTATCTGAAGCAGTTGTGAACCTTGAAAACCAAATTTCTAATGAAGATGGTGATTGGTGGATAGATTTATGTCAATTTTTGGACAGAGATGAGATTCTATCTAAAGTCTATGATGCGTTGGTCAATCATCGAAAAAGTATCCATGATGTTTCCTCTACCAGTATAATAAAAAAAGTAGCTACTATTCCTGGCTTGCAACTTATAATTTCTCAATGGTTGGAAGGTATTGAGAAGAATCAAAAGAAGGTGAAGAAATCACTCAAAGCATTAAAGGCAGCAGATAATGAAGTATTAGTTAATGCTGCTGTGGACTGCCACTTACGAATTAGTAATCTAAAGTCCAAGTCTCAGAAAGCATTGTGTGAGCTTTGTGTTTGCGAAAACTACATTAAGAAATTTGAAGTGAACCTTTTTGACATAAAAGTGAAGAAAAATGAAAATATTATGGTTGGTGATGTATATCTCCTAGGCCAAGGAAAAGAAGGATCGTGGAAACCTAGCGAGCAGGAAACTGTTTTAAAAACATTGTTGTCTCTGGGCCGCCACAGGAAAGCAGACAAGGATTGGCTCAAGAGTGGCTCTTTATTTCTCAAGCTAATGGAGGCTTTACGGAAAGAGTTTAAATCTATCCGTTTATTGTGGAGTCGTGTTAATGAAAGGACTCAGGCTCAAGATGAACTAAACATGTGTAATCTTCGTTTGAGATTGCGCTATCCTGATGAACCAATGCCAAATTCACCAACTAAAGTCAACAAGCGAAAGAAGCAAGAGTCTAAGAATTTAAGTTCGAATATAGACACTAAAATGGAAACACTTCATGTAATTGAGCCCCATCAGGTAAAGAACATTACAGTATGAATTACTGGTATGAATTACTGTTCTATTTCTAACCCATCACTTTTATCAATTAGGTAGAAGGAATGACTCATCAGAACAACTTGGAAGCAATATCAGCTTTTAGTGAATTGCGAAAGAAATCAGGAACCGTAGCTTATTTAGAAAATCTTCGTAGTAAAGGAAATGATCCCAAATCAAGTCCAGAGGTTTGCCCAGTGTGCCAAGCAACTTTGGAAAACAAGGTGAGATTTTACAGTTTGACCTCTTTATTTGTTACTGTTGGTTTGCTTTGTCATGGTTTTACTTGGTCTTGTCCACAGTGGGTTGTTCTGTCCTGTGGTCACTGCTACTGCATGGACTGTTTCCCAGAACTCATGAAAAAGACCCAAGTTCCTTGTGCTATTTGCAGAGAAGTAACAAACATAAGTGAATTGTCCTTTGTGAATCTGGGTTCTGAAGAAGAATGTGTTGGTAGCTCATCAAACCTTGAAATCCCTCCGGTGCTAGGCTCTTATTCCACTAAAGTAGAGGGTGTGGTTAAAAGGCTGTTTTATCTAAAGGCGGCTGACCCTCTTGTAAAGGTTTTGATTTTTTCAACTGTGAGTATAAATTTATATAGAGTTTGTAATTCTGCCCATTGACGATTGCTAATTGGCGCACCTTCTTGTTTCCTCAGTGGGATCGAGTTCTAGATGTTTTACAGGAAGCTCTTAATTGCAATAGCATTAAAAACTTGCGTTTGAAGTCAGGCGCAGGATATGAACAAACCCTTCAGAGGTTCAAGGTTTGCTATATTTTGTACTCCTCAACTCAATCTCAGTACTGCGTACTTTCTTTCTCGAGATTAATATTTATATTGTTGTCTTTGTAAAGGATATGGAGGAGGAGAATCCAGTCACTGCCCTTCTTTTGCTTTTGAAGCTGGGATCAAAAGGCCTGAATCTGACAGAGGCAACTCATGTCATGTTGGTGGAGCCATTGCTAAATCCTGCTGATGAATTGCAGGCAATAGGAAGAATTCACAGGATTGGACAAACAAGGTAAAAAAAAAAAGGGTTTTCATTTATTTTTTTCATTTCTTTTTTTTTCTTCTTTTTTTTTTTTTGTCTTATTTAAAATATTTCTTTATCAGACAAACATATGTCCATCGTTTCTTGATTCGAGAAACAATTGAAGACAGGATGTTTTCTGCTGTTCAAGCAACAGGGAAAGAACAATGGAGTGGAAAGCAAGTGACTTTGCAGCAGCTCAAGGATTTATTTTCTTCACAAACTTCTAACTTGCCAGCACAAGAATTGAGACAGGAATCTAATGCGAGCATCGAAGAAGTTACCATTGATGGATAGGCTCCATTGTTTTGTTTTGATGTGTATTGTATATTTGTGATGGAAAGTCAATGCGACTTTGTTCTTTCTTTTTTTAGTAACTGTCATTTCTTTTATGTATGTAATACAAGTCAACTTTGTTAATATTTATTTTTGTAATCATCTGTAAGCCATAAATAGTTGTAAAATACAAAGCTGTGAAAATATGTTAAAGAAGGATGAAATAAAGTAACAGCCTTTTAATGAATGGACAACAAATTTATTAGGCTATATAGGAAAGTGGTAGGAACCTTGCATCCTTCCCAGTACATTTTGGGACTGAGGGATTCTTTGAAAAAATGCTACCAACTAACATATATGGAATTTTGGGCCGTCCCGTACATAAAATAAAGGTTTTCATAGTTTCACTGGGGTTAAATTTCGGGGTTTAAAATAAATTTTAAAAAAAACTCGAAACAAAGCAAACTCGTATATAAATGAAGCCCAAAAATAGGATTTAATCACGGTCCAAGTGCTCCCGAAACTGAATGTCTTTGGTAAAAATTCTTCCACCCTGGGAAACAAAACATGCAAAAAGTTTTTTATTAAAATTTGTGTAGCAGCAAACTATTGGCTAAACCCTGGTTATTTTTTTCCTAATTTTAACAACCCCTTTTTGGTAATTATTTTCATTTAAACCACAAAAGGGAAAATTTCCCAAAAATTTACATAATATCTTTGGCAAGTCCAAAGTTGACCGTGACGCCAGGCTATAGAAGCACTTAAGGTGTCCAGCTCCAAACTCCCCACTTATATTAGATATCACAAACCACAAAGCTCTGACAAAAAGAAACAGACAAATGAGAGAAAGATGGATCTGCAAGATCCACAAGTGTATAGCACTGGTGCTTTTGTTCAGATTACATTAAAGGTTGAGTGATATGTTGAACAGCTTGTGCAAAAATGCAAAACATGAGAAACCTTTTGCAGGTAGCAGTCAAATCTCAGAAAAGTCTTGTGGCTTCACATCACCACAGCCCTTTGGCACTAAGAGTTACCAGAAAGAGGTTTCCTGTGGTTTCGAGCAAAAACTTACAATTTACTATAAATGAAACATCTTAACATGGTGTCTCTGTGGACGCCAACAAACAACTAAGCAGATCTTGCTATACTAGAGTAAGTAATACTGGAAAAGAAGTACAGTGCTATCGCAGAAATTCTGTTTTTTTTTTAAAGAATTACAATTTGTTTGTGGCTGAGTTCCTGCGCTCCTATTCATGAACTGAACAGGAATGTCTTTGTTTGAACGGTTTCACTTTGATTTTTAATTATGGACTAGAGCCAATTTATTTTGGTGGCACTATTTTATTTTGGAGTCAACCACCATGTATCCTTTTGTGTTGAGAAAGGATTACCATTTGTCAAAACCTGTTTTTGTCACTGCCTGTTTCTCCTGGAGAGCCGCAAAGACACATCCTCACACTAGAAGGAAATTTAAATCACAAATTTGCCAAACAATGCTTCAATTTCGCCTGTCACAAAAATACACAAGTGGGTTAAACACAAAACCCATTAGGTTAACACAACATTTTGAGGCAGCACAACAGGAACACAACAGTGAAGCGATCTGTACATTATAAATAATTCACACATAAGGAATATTTTGCCAATCCCTCAATATAAAAAGAAGTAAAAATATTTTTTTTTATTTTGAACAAATTTAAGATTCAATTGAGATAGTTTTCGGTTTGTTTTCAGTAGGTTTGACTGTAATCAGTTTAAATACTTACAGTACAGTATTTACCGTCATAATAATTATGTACAGACAATCATTTTGCTTTGAGAAATAACATAGGTACTTTGGGAGTCCCCAAGATTAACAGCCACATTAACAGACATAATTTAAAATTTGCACACACAGACACTAGAATCAAAAATTCAAGTGCCCCCATGTACTTTGGCTACTAACTACTACCTACTACCAACTACTAAGTGCAATTTGGTATTGAATGGATAATAAGATGACACATATAACAGCTGCACCACTCATAAATAAAATAAGAAAGAAATGCTGTCAGCAATGAAATGGTCCAAGTCTTACACTGGAAAAAGACAAAAAACAATAACAACAAAAAATCACTTTTCAGTAAGATAAGAAAATTGTACTAGACATTAAATGCACTTTGTATGAGATATCAAAACAGAAAGCAATAATAAGATGGAGAAGCATCTCAGCTTCCTGCTTACAGGAGACGAAATTGTTTACATATGTATACCTACATACATTACTTTAGAAGAGGACTAGTTTTACCATACTTCTAGGAAGCATCTTACATGTATAAATTTATACACAAACAAAGTCTTCTAAAACAATACAAGTAATATCAGCTTCACATTGAGAGTAAGTTAAATCACATCAGAAAAGAAACAATCCTAAGGTATTTTATAAATTCAATCACAAGTTAATAACACTACATGAAACCACAGACCATGTGAATTTTCAGTACCTAGACAACCTCTTTGAGTAGCACTTCGAAAAAGGAAAAATAGAACCAATATAATGCAAGACCACAAATTAATGTGCATTCCCCATCGCTGCTGCCCCTGACTGGACAGGCACTATCTGGTTTTGAGAAAGAAACCTATCTATAAGTACAAAGTCTTGGAATACTAACTGAAATGGGAAGACTCTAGATACTCAAAAATCACATTCTGTCACATATACACATAAGAAGGACAAACACACAAGCAAGCATGGTTCGATTCTGCTGAACTTGACTGTATGGCCAAAACCCGAAAGTTATCCTGCATGACATGCTCCCATCACAGGCTTGATGGTAACCGTGTTGCAAAGTGATAGAGCTTTATTTCACCTTCACTAATTGAGGGAATCTCAGATGAAAGGAAACTTTATGTTCAAGAACATACTGTTTTCAGTAGATCTTTTTAAGTTGCTCATATGTGATAAAGAAAATAATGTTCCATGGGCCCATTCTCACCCAGGTAGGCACGAATCCTTTATATAATGCTGTTATTCCTTCATTGCGGACAGTCTGTGAAGAGAGAAAAAGAGTCATAAAGAAGAATTATAACAATTGCAGGTGCACACTGCTTGCATGCAAGAAGAGGCAGTTGACATGATACCTTACCTGGACAAGACAATCTAAACTGCCAGTGTACAAATGTGCAGTATGGGGAGTGGGTGAAGTTATTCCTCCCTTTTTGAATCTTCTTTGGTTCATTAATCTTGTCTGGAATGAAACAAACGGATATTACAAACTTACTTTGTCCCACAAGGCCAGAAAAATTGACCCATTGTCCAAATCTTGCATCTTCTGATACTTGATCTTACTCAATCATAGCGATGGGGCATGACTCTATGATTAAAAATCAAAATAATAAAAATAGAGAGGAACAAGGGGGGGGGGAATCTACAACACATGCAGTTCAATCTCACTTCTTACAATTGACTGAATATTTCTTAACACTTACTCTGATTACATCAGTTGGAGTGGATGCAATGGCACTTCCTAAGCTTGCAATGAAACTAGAACTGTAACAATAAAGAAATGAACCTAAGGGTGCTTCCAATACGTGGTTAGAAGCGAAATATTGAGCACATTCAACTCACATAAAATGATTTGCCACAGTGTCCCCAACTTTTGGAATTAAGTTATGTTTGCAGAAATCATAGACTGGCAGTTCCACTGCTGCAATTATTGCTGCTCTTTGAGCAGTGGGTCCCACTCCCTGAAAAATTACAAATGGATATATTCATACAATAAATTAAAATAAAGTATCGCAATCATACCAATTTCTGCAAAATATTTTTCAGAAATAAAATAAATTTAAAACAGCGTTTTTGTTCAGAGACATACCCTCCACAATCCACCAATTCCCTCATGATAGTATACATCTTGAAAGCAGCTGACAAGACTATGGTGATGTCCGTGGACTTGCATCCGGACTTTCAACACGTCAGTCGGGTTAGCAATTGCGCTAGACAGCATGCCTGCAGTGACAGCACACAACACATTCATCAGAACATCCTCTTTTGGATCTTGGCGATATTGAGCCACAAACTTTTTTAGGGTATAGTATGTTCCAAATTTAATGGTTCCATAGGTTGCTTGCCTCAGCACAGCTGGAGCAATTCTGTAATAATCATGAAAATAAATTAATTTTTAGCTCTGCCTGATAGAGGTCACTTTATCAACGACATTACTTCAGAATCTCTTAAATGAGTTACCAGCAATCAATAAAAAACATACCCTGCATAAAGAGCTCTGTACCCTTCATGTTTGGAGATTTCTGCAAGAGCATGGGTCATACCACGGTACCTTAGCTCAGCGTGCAAACTGTTGTGCTGACCTTGTACTTGTAAGCGGGTTTTAGTTGTATCGATAGGAAACGTTCCTGGAACAAACATAAACACAATGAAGCCTTACACCAAACAATATTGAGGTAGGGACAAAAAAAAGGCCGCAGTCTATCAAGTCTGTACCTACCAAATTCTGCTGTGCATGAGGCCAGCCCACCATACACGAATGGTCTCCAATCTTTTTCCACTTTTCCAAATCCCATTCCAACAACCAAACCGCTCGAAACTGACAAAAAAATAAAACACTGCAATCAGAACACCAAGGAACAAAGCAGAGCAATTAAAGTCAAGAGTATTTCAACAGAGTCTTATCAAGATAAACACGATGGGGGGCAATTGATGCGAATCCGATTTCGCAACGCTAGGGAATTTCCGTACAGTAGAGGAGCGCATTCACGTCATCTTCGTCTTTTTCGTAAATAAGTGAGGAGACGAGACACATGGGTTAAAATCGTTTCAGAAGACGTTGGGGCTCGTGACTGCGGCCAGGCGAGTGGGATACCGAACGGCAAGGACGAGCCACAGACTGTGACACACACAGAAATTAGAGCCAGGTCAAAGACCTACCTGAAGTGATTCAAACCCAACCGAAAGCCGGCCCAAATACTGCCGAACTATCTGCAAGATTGTAAATCGAGCGTGAACCAACGCGATAACCCCACTTCGGTCAGTTGTCTGCTAGGCTGGGGCCTGCGCGTTCCTCTCTTCTTCTTCTCTTTCGGATCCGGTTCTGCCAACCACACGCAGTGTGCGCCGCGCAACGATGAGGAAACACGGCTCGTGAGCAATCGTGCGGGTGAAAAAAATCAACATTCCCGTTGTTCGTAAAAGAATACAAGATTCGAATTGGACGATAAAATTGAGCGTGGAGCTGATATGTCCACAAAAAACATAGTCATAATTTACGGTTCTGGATGTGGACGTGAGCAAGCCTGACGCGGGGAAGAGAGAGGGGCGGAAGGGGGAAGTGAATGGAGGAGGGGGAAGGAGGTGAAAAGAAGGTAGCAAGGAAAGGGAGAGGAGGAAGAGAAATAGAGAAGAGGAAAGAATAGACACTCGAGCAAGAAAGTGTGTCAAAGAGCTAGAATGAAAGAGGAAAGAGTAGCAAGAGATATGCCGGCAGGTTGCTCGCAGGGAAAAAAGGTTGCCTAGACCGTAGTCCTTGCCTCGGTTAGGTCTTAAGTAGATGGGCTTTTCGGACACCAAGATTAGGATGAGACCCTCTTCATCTGGTCGATAAACTCTGCTGTCATCCTGTTTGAGCAAGGTGTGGTCGGCGTCCACCTCTCTATCATGGCCACGGATGTGTTCACGGTCAGATAAAGTAGGTTAGGTGTAGCAGAAGACGGAACGGTCGTCAAGTAGAGTCAAGGACCAAGACCAAGGAGTCGTGCCGACGCGTTATCGTCATCGCCAGTTATTCCTCGCGTCGTGGCACGCCCCAGCTCGCCAAAATGGACAGGGAGTCCAAATTTTTACTTCGCAAAATAATTACTGACGTGGCTGTTCTATTGACAAGTAAGGAAGTTCCTCATTGACAGCTGAAACTGTTGACATGTTTATTTATATATCACTCAGGATTGTCACGCACTGATCTGGCTCTCTTTCCCGTCCAGTTGGCATCCCAATCTTAATGTTTTTCTTGTTTGGAAAGCCATATTCAAGAGGCTTTTACTGCAACGATGAGTCAATTATGCACCCGTTCAAGGAATCAACTGTTTCAAACCTCATGCTGTACATAGTCGGAATGTTCCTCCCTATCGCTGTGGTAAGTGGCAAAGAAAGACTACCTTGGTGTGTGCCTGTGAGTTTATTTTAACTGTTATTCTCTTCATGTCCCTTTTCAGATAATTCTGACTGAGCTGTACATTCATCACTATATAACTCGTAGACGCACAGCTTATAAATTTATGGGACACTCCATACCATCTTGGTTGTCGAATTCTTACAAAGTTATTGGTGTGTTTGGCTTTGGAGCAGCAACCTCCCAGCTCACCACAGACATTGCAAAATATACTATTGGACGGCTTCGGCCTCATTTTATAAGTGTTTGTGTACCAAATATCAATTGCACCCTGCCAGAAAATCAACACAAGTACTTTGAAACATTCGAATGCACAAGTGGTGCAGGAGCTCGGAAGTTAAAAGAAGCTAGGTCCATATTCTTGAACCATCTTAATTTTCAAAATTTGTATCAGAAGTAATTTTGATTTTGCTTAATTTCAGGCTTTCATTTCCATCGGGCCATTCATCTTTCTCTGCCTACACAATGTTGTTTCTTGTTGTAAGTTTCGGTTTAAAAAATTAACAACTTTATATTTTTTAATACTCTGTGCCTGTTTTGGGTTTTAGTCCTAATATTCTTTTCTTTTGCGTGTAGTGCTACCTACAGTCGCGCATGACATTCAAAGGTTCGAAATTATTAAGACATGGCATTCAGTATGTCTGCTTGATGTTGTCTTGGTCTACTGCCATGTCAAGAATTTCAAACTACAAGCATCATTGGAGTGATGTTCTGTCTGGTCTTCTCATCGGTGTCATTGTAGCGATCCTCACTGTAAGTATAGTGAACCTCTAAAAACTATTAAAATTGTACTTGTTTATATTTTAACAAATCTTTTATTTTTCAGGTGGTATATGTCTCTGATTTATTTCCTCGGAAATATTTCAAAGAAGAGTCAGAACCCTTGAACCGTGTTTCACCATCTAACAGCCGGAAAAGAGACCAGCACCCTTCTTATCAAAGTACCCAAGATCATCAACTTATTGTTCCAATGCACACCGTAGTTGATGGCAATAATTTTGGTCAGAGAGAACATCGATCCACTTCACCAAGCCTTGAGCCAATTAACAGGAACGTGTCGAACCCAGCTTGACTCCACTATTAATACTCTTGGTGGGAAAATCTTAGAGCAGCTCAGGACAGTTAATCAATATGTACTATGTCTGTGAATGTTTTTGCAGTACCTTGTGAAGGTCTGTTTGATGATTTTAGGTTTACTAAACTTGATTGCACAATTTAAATTAGAAGTCAGTCAAACTTCGTGTTTTTTAGTTGTGTAGTATTTTTGAATTCGAAAAGTCTTTCTTCCAAGTCCTAAATTGTTTAAATTAAAACATCAGTCTGTGTCTCTTCTTGTGGCTCTTTAGAACCTCTTGTAATTAGAAGTTTTACTTAACAATATGTGATGTATTTAACTTTTCTTCCATGAGGCTTCCATTTTCTTTATTTTAATTCTACAAATGTTTTTTTGTTGTTGTTTTTAAACAAACTCATATTCCATGTTTTATGTCTATTCTTTTTGTTTTTCTGTTGTTTTTCTCTTTTCAGTTACAATATTTGTTTTTGTTAAATGCAAGATTTAAAAACTTTGCCCTAGTTTTATAGTAACTGAGTAGGCCGCTTAGTGGTTTTAAAAATGTTTGCATATCAAACCTTTGCATGTGTGTTTATCTAAATAATAATAAATAAGCTCACTAACTTAGCTGACTGTTAAAAGACATTTATGTTTTTCTTGTGTAGGCTTCTGTCCTAAACTAATTGTGATATTACAAAAATAACATGTTTTGTTGGTCTCAACTTTGGGAAGTGACAATGAGATGGTGATGTTTCATTTTCTGAGTCACAGATACTGATGTAATGGTCTGCAGTGACTGCCACACTCACCCTTTGATGGGTAAGGACTCTGTTTGTGTGCTCCTCTTGCTTTGTACTACAAGCACAAATTTTTTGAATGTTGTTGCTATATTGTGTTAATTAGTGGTGTATTTAATTTTACTTCTTGTCAATTAAAATTTAAGTTTGTTGTCTTTTAAGTTTGAGTTTGCTCCATGGTCGCTTGGGAGCATCCTTCTAGCTTTGCTCTTTTTGGCCAGCATTTTTCCTGTTTTACTTTTTGTGTTTTTAATTCTCTTCTAAAGTTAACCATTAATGTACTAGAAAACAAATATATACAAATGAAAACTAGAAACGTTTTTTTTCTTCGATGCAAGACCATGAAAAATCACCCCTAGGGCACGCTGTTTATTCCTGCTCGAGGCCGCGCTTCATGGCATCCGCGAATGCGGGCTGCGGGCGCAACGTCATGGTCGCACGAAAACAGATGCATCGTGTAGCTTTGGAAGCTGCCTCTCCTGGCTTCTCCTGGAGCCCACAGATTATGGCCTTCGGCGCCTGTGAGGTAGGCCACCCTTCCGTCTCGCAACACACCGCCGTAGAGACGGTGGCCTATCTCACCCCTGTGAAGACGACAGGGGTAAGATAGGCCACCGCCTCCACGCTGGTACGTTGCAGAACGGGACGGTGGCCTACCTCACAGGCGCTGAAGGACTCAACAGACGGGCGGCTGCTGCTACACCTTCTCGCAGAGAAACCACGATCAGCCTGGGGTAAAAGGAGACCTGTTAGCCACAAGCAGGCAAATCCCTTCACGATTTCTTCCCTCGCGCAAAGCGTGCAGGCCGCGCCAGAAGTCCTGAAGCAAAGACGATTCGCGGGCAGCTTCATTTGGGACGTCCCCATCGCCCCTTCGGACCCAAGTTATGCCGACACGTCGATGGCCTTACCGTGTCATCCCCTTCCTCTCCAAAGGGCCACTCCCGCTCGGGCGGCACTGACGCAGACAGGGCGGGGCAGACACGCTGACGCACACGGCGAGCTTGGGCAGCTTGAGCGCGCCATGCCCGTCCAGGCCGTCCAGCGAGTACACGCACTCGGCCATCCGGGGACGGTCGAGAAGGGCGTTATCCCCGGCCGGTCCAGCCTGCTCTTGGGCGCTTGCCAGCATTGCGGCCCAGGCCAGGCCAAGCCCGGCCAGGCTCGTCCCTGCAAACCCGTCGCCCCAACGAGGGGCCACTGACGTCACATCGCGTCGCCCGCTGCAGTCCTACAGTGGAGTGGAGGATGCCCTCCACGGTGGAGGCAGAGTTAGGTCCTCCCACAGCATTTCTTTCTGCGAAGCACTCAGGAGGAAGGCAGACACATCTCGCGGACCCGAAGCCAGCTTTCGCCGCGGGCTTTCCCGCGGGCTTTCCCCCGGCTATTATCGGACCGTGCAGTGCAGCTCCGATAACGCGGAGCACGGCTGCGCCCCCGCCTGGGCTGCTTGAAAACAAGAATAAAGCGAAGTTGCAAACGAGGTGCACTGGTGGCAACACAAGCGAGACCGCAAATGCCCCTGCAACGCCAGCCGACCGCACTATGCAAGACTGCTAGGCCCTCCTCAAGGCCCTTCGCCACCCGCACGGCCGCGGACTGGGGCTGGGGGCTGCGCCGCGGACCGGACCACTGCGTGGCGGCTCTGGGCGGCACCGACTTCCCCGCCGACGGTCTCTGTGCGCAACTTTGGAAACCACTTCAAATCAGATTCAAAATAAAGCTGACGCCCGGACAAGGCTAAGGGTGGGGAATTCTGTCGGCTCGACTTGGGCTGCCTGGCGGGGCAGGCGGGGCTGGCTGCTTGCTGCTTGGGGACGCGGCCATCGGCCATCCCCCCTCCCAGACCAGCCCGCCCAGTCCGGCCGCCGCGCCGGTCTGCCCTGCCGTCTCGGAACCTCGGAACCACGGTCTCCTCCGCGGCCGCGGTGCCCCAAGGCTCGCAGTCGGTCTTCACCCGCCCGACGGTGAAGACTGCCATCTTCCGCTCCGCTCCGCCCCTCCAGCCGGAGGGCGTCCCCGAGCCAGCAACCCCGAGCCCTCTCCAAGAGCCCTCTCCAAGGGGCCGCTAAGCAGAGGCAGCCAGCAGCGCGCACCACCATGCATTCTGCGGGGATCCTGTGAGTAGTGTTTCCGAGTTCCCTCTCGACAAAGGGTTACGGCCGGGCCTCGCCGCCCGCACGGAGGCGCCACTGCCCGAGCCCTCCGTCGGGCGGGCCTTCACGGACTTCCCTCGCGACAGCCGAGGCGATGCCGACCCCCCCGCAGTGCAGTGGTGGGTGGCCGAACAAACAGAAATGCAAGCAAATCGGCCGCGGCCACGTCCAGGTCGGCTGGCGCTGGTGTGTCCGATGTCGCCGTGAGTGCGACAAGGACGAAGACAACGCCATCCCGAACGCGGACCGCGATACGTCGCGGAGTCGCGACCCCGCCGTGCAAGCCGTGCAAGGGTCTATCCTCTTAAGCGAAACGCGTCAGGACGTCAGTCAGTCAGTCAGTCAGGCAGTCGATCGGCCGCCTACTTAAAACAGCCGTAAAATCGTTCCAAAAGGACTGACATGGGTCCTCAAGTACATTTTTACGTTCAAGCATTATGATTCTGTGAAAATTTTCGTTTAAAAACGATGTTTTGTTGTTAGCAGCTTTTGTGAGTCAACCTAACCTAACCCATGCTAACAACAAAACATCTCTTTTAAACCACAATTTTCACAGAATTATAATGCTTGAACGTAAAAATGTACTTGAGGACCCATGTCAGTCCTTTTGGAACGATTTTACGGCTGTTTTAAGGAGGCGGCTGATTGACTGCCTGACTGACTGACTGACTGACTGACTGACGTCCTGATGCGTTTCGCTTAAGAGGATAGACCCCAAGCCGTGCAGGGTGTGCGGCAGGCGGGGCAGTGCAGGCACATCGCGTTCTCTCCTATCTTAGTTTGTGTCGACGATAGTTCACCCTGTCCTGGGCGACGTTGCGCCAAAACGGCGTTTTGCGGCGTCGCGACGCTTCGATGCCTCGATGTGTGCGTGCCGCGCGTCTCGCTCCGTGTGGACGTCACGCAGTGCGGAAGCGCGTCCAGCACACTGATTCCGAACATCGCTTTCGTCGCTCTGTCTCTCCCGCACTCGTGGGGCGTTCCTCATTAGTGCGAGAGAGACGGGGCGACGGCAGGCTGTGCGGAATCAGTCTGCAGCCTCTCACCTTGATGTTGTCATCGGGGTTTGACGAGCTCGGCGCCGCCCGGCCGTCACAACAACAGTGCGGTTCTCGGTAAGGCGGCACTGCACGCGCCACTCGCCGTGCCGTGACGTGCCGTGACGTCAGCGACGGGCGGGGGTGCCCGGCGTGCCCGGCCGGCGGTGGCCGGGAAACCCCCGCCGTGGATCATCGCCGAGTCTGGCCGCAGGCCGGGAAACGCGGCGTCTCGCCGTGTTTGCGCTGCATTAATTAAGCATTTCGGCGACGCGGGACGTCTCGCGTGTTTTGGGCCCCGCGGCCCGCGGCCAGCCGAACCCGCGGACGACGGGGACGACGAGGACGACGCGGACGTCGGGCCGCGGCGGGGGTTCGGCGCGGTGCGGTGCGGTTGACCGGTCAGTCGCGGCTCCGCGGTGCGGCGCGCTGGAAACAGAAACAGGTTGGCGGTGACGTCAGCAGCGTCTGCCGGCGTCCTGCTGGTCCTGGCGTGGCCTTGGCTGCGGCCGTAGCCTTGGGAGGCTGCGGAGCACCGCGGAGCACCGCGGAGCGAGTCGTCCTAACGCCCTGGCGGGGCGGGGCGGGTGGCAACGAACTGACAAACACACACACGCACGACTAGTCTGCCGGCCGGCCCCGGGCACTGCGAGCACTGCGGATCGTTTTGCCGCCCCTCGGCATTCGGAACGTCTTGGACATTCCTTTTTTTAGGGGGTCACTGTGTTCGCGCGCGAACCACAGCGGTGGCAATCAACCAAAACGACTATCGCAAAAAAAGCTTTGAAATTTACACTCTTGCCCATCCAGTCTACTTGACGTCTTTAAAGTCCCGGCAGACAAAGAACGTGTGCTGAACCAATAAACAAGTAACACGAATCCGCTTTTATTTGCAAACACAGCTGTTTGTGTCGAAGCTGGTCACGCTGTTTATAGCTGCCTGGACGCCGCGGAGGTCAAGGCTGCAGGCGCGGGGCGGGGGACGTGGTGTGCCCTACCCGCGTCCAGCCAGACGGACGGGGCCTGGACGCCCAACTCGTTGTTCCGAGGCGGCTGTCGGTGTACCTTGGCGTTTAGCGTTCATAGCGCGGCCATGCCAGGCCACGGCAGGGCACGGCAGGGCACGGCACGGCAGGGCACGGCCCGAACGCCTTATCCGAACACATACACTGTATTGCCCGGCAACCAACCGGTTCGTAGGTAGTTGGTGGTACCCGCGGGTTGGCCGGCTCAGGCATTCGGCCCGCTTAGCCATTCGGAGATACTTCGGCAATGCCGGTAATGATGGCCACCGATCCCAGACAGCGGAAATGGGCCTCCGTGGAGGACGCCGCGGAGGACGCCGCCGTGGAGGACACCGGTTTGACCCCGCCGCGCCGCCGAGGCCCAGAGACGCCCTGTGCGATCCAAGTCAGCGACAGCGAACGTGAAGGCGCCTTCTGTCTCTGCTTGCAGCAGCGTGGCCGTCGTGGCCCTCGCGGCCCTGTTGGCGCCCACGGCCGAGGCCCAGGCCAAAGTCGACCAGCTGCAGTACCTGTTCGACAGGCCCTCCGAGCCCATCTTCCTGCCCAAGGAGAGCGACAAGGGCAGCAAGAGGGTCTTCTTCGACGTGCCCAACGAGTACCTGGTGCGTCACCGACCTTCCCGTCTTAAGGATGTGCTTCCGACACACCGACTCGTTCAAGTGTCGTTGGTCTCTGCTTGCAGACGGACCGGCAGAAGAAGCTGGGCACGCAGGTCATCAACCGCTTCGGCGAGAAGGCGGAGCACATCAACGTGCGCAAGATCAACCTGCCGGACTTGAGCGTCCCCGGGCAGCTGGACAAGCGCGCGCAGTTCTCGCTGTTCCTCCCGGAGCACCGCAAGCTGGCCGGCAGGCTGATCGACGTCTTCATGGGTAAGCGTGAGGGGGCTCCACTGTTGCGTTGCACCGCCGAAGAGGCGTTTCATCGGCCTGTCTCTCTCGCACTCCCGCGGGACGCCATGTGGGTGTGACAGTGACAGAGCGACGAAACGGCTCTTCCGTATCAGCGTGCGTTCTGCGGTGATGTTTTTGTTTTCCTTGCTGTTTCGACGGGACATAAAAAGGGTGCGAAAGTGGATTGTGACGGCTGTGCTTCCGTTGGCCAGGCATGCGCAATCTGGACGACTTCCTGTCCGCCGCCGTGTACGCGCGCAGCCACCTCAACCCGTACCTGTTCGTGTACGCCTACTCCGTGGCGCTGCTGCACCGCGACGACACCCGCAACGCGCACCTGCCGCCCCTGGCCGAGCTCTTCCCCGAGAAGTACGTCAACGGCGCCCTCTTCGCCCGCGCCAGGGAGGAGACCAACATGGCGCTCGACCCCCAGCAGCGAGTAAGTGCCGTCTCTCTCACGCCCCCATGGCACGCCCATGAGTGCGACAGAGACAGAGCCATTGGACAGAAATAGGAAAGTGAGTACTAGAGCGTATCTAACCCATGGGGTGTGCTTCCTCCAGGTGCCGCTGGAGATCCCCAAGGACTACACCGCCTCCGACCTGGAGGAGGAGCACAAGGTGGCGTACTTCCGCGAGGACCTCGGCATCAACCTGCACCACTGGCACTGGCACTTGGTGTACCCCTTCGACGCGCCGCTCAACATCGTCCGCAAGGACCGACGCGGTGAGCTGTTCTCCTACATGCACCAGCAGATCCTGGCCCGCTACAACCTGGAGCGCTTCAGCAACGGCCTGCAGCGCGTCAAGCGGCTGCTCAACCTGCGCGAGCCCATCCCCGAGGGCTACTTCCCCAAGCTGGACAGCTTGGTGTCGTCGCGCGTCTGGCCGGCCAGGGCCTCCAACACCGTCCTGTCTGTGAGTACCGTCGCCGAGTCCCTCAGACCTCCGGAGCCACCGACAGTACAACGGCGCCTTGTGCTTCCAGGACATCGCTCGCGAGGGCGACCAGATCCAGTTCGACCTGCAGGACATCGAGCGCTGGCGCGACCGCATCTACGAGGCCGTCCACACCGGCGCCGTCGTCACGGTGAGTACCCACACTGTCTGTGTCGCACCCTCGCGGCGTCCCGTGGCGGTGCGAGAGAGACAGAGCGGCGCCACGATCCTTCCCGATCGCTCGGCCGTTCGACCGAGACTCACCCCCTCGTGTCTGTCCGCAGGACAAGAACACCCGCCTCAACCTGACCGAGTTCGGCGGCATCGACGTGCTGGGCAACATCATCGAGTCCAGCATCATCTCCCCCAACCGGCCGCTGTACGGCGACATGCACAACTTCGGCCACATCGCCATCGCCTTCTCGCACGACCCCGACAACCGGCACCTGGTGAGCACACTGTCACACTTGGGCCCCTCCTTTCCCTCCCCAAGCGCTGTCCCTCTAATGCCCCGGGTCCGCAGGAGTCGTTCGGCGTGATGGGAGACTCGACCACGGCCATGCGCGACCCCGTCTTCTACCGCTGGCACGCCTTCGTCGACGACATCTTCCAGGAGCACAAGCGCACCCTGCCGGCCTACAGCCAGCAGCAGCTGGACTTCCCCGGCGTGCAAGTCAGGGTAAGCCTCGCCACGTCAAGACATTTAAAAATAAAAAATGCCGAAGAAGAAGAATTAACCGGCAGGGCTATTTTGTGATCTTGTCCAGAGCGTGGAGGTGATGACGACCAACGCCCGCCGGCCCAACGAGCTGTTCACGTTCTGGCAGCAGAACGACATGGACCTGTCCCGCGGCCTGGACTTCACCCCCCGAGGCTCCGTCTTTGCCCGCTTCACCCACCTGCAGCACCGCCCCTTCACCTACCGCATCACGGTGAGTGGCGCCCCCGCCCGCGGCCGCCGGTCCCGGGTTCGAGTCCCCGATTTGACGAGCTCCTTTTTCGCGCCTTTTGCAGGTGGAGAACAACGCCCCCGGGCAGCGCGAGGGCTACGTGCGCATCTTCCTCGGCCCCAAGTTCGACGAGCGCGGCGTGCCGATGCTGTTCCGCGACCAGCGCAACTTCATGGTGGAGCTCGACAAGTTCCCCATCAACCGTGAGTACCGGCGGCCTTGCAATCGAGTTGCTCTCTCTGGCGCTCTAAATAACGCCGGCCGTGGCTTTCGCAGTGAGCCAGCGCACCAACACGATCGAGCGCCGCTCCACCATGTCGTCCGTGACCATCCCCTTCGAGAGGACCTTCCGCAACCTGGACCTCAACAGGCCGCAGAGCGGCACCCAGCTCGAGCAGTTCAACTTCTGCGGCTGCGGCTGGCCCCAGCACATGCTCATCCCCAAGGGCTCCGTGTCCGGCCTGCAGCTGCAGCTGTTCGTCATGATCACCGACTACTCCAGGGACAAGGTGGGTGTGGGTGGACCTTCGCCCGCCTTCGCCGCGAGGGCGAGGAGGGTCTAGCCCGTAATGGTAATAGTAATGACAGGCTAGGCCACATCCGCGCTCTGCCGACACGGGAGTGCTGCGGGAGTGCCTACCCTGTGTCTCGCAGGCGCTCTGGCGTCGACCGAAACTGATCTGACTCTCTGTCTGTGCGTGCGGCGTGCAGGTGGAGCAGCCCCTGGACGGCATGTGCAACGACGCCGCCTCCTACTGCGGCGTCCGCGGCCAGCGCTACCCCGACAAGCAGCCCATGGGCTTCCCCTTCGACCGCACCGGGCGCCAGGGCGTGGACACGCTGCGCTCCTTCCTCACCAGGAACATGTTCATCCAGGACGTGACGGTCAAGTTCCAGGACCGCATCGAGGCGCCCGCCAACCGCAACGTCACCGCCTTCCAGGGCTGAGGCAACGCCACTCTGGACCCACCCGTGCCACAAAGACTTTTACGTGAAGCCCGAGCGTTTCCAGTTTCTTCATTTCCTCCAATTTATTTTTAAAAAATCGGGCTGATAAGACTGTGATTTCTTTCTAAGCGGCAAGACTGCTGAAAAATAGTGATGACTCAAGTGATGACTTAAACGAGGACGAGACGTGAACGACTTGTCATCATAAAATACGGACGTGACAACAGGACTTCATTAAACTGCGACCTGTCACAATAAAAACACTCTGACACCTTACGACTTGAAAACAATAAAATGTTTGAAAACCCCAGCGATGAGTTTCTTTTTTCGACACAAATATCCCATTTTTCGATGGCAATTTAGGGCACCGTCTATACCCCGTGCTGAGCCCGTTCCCCTCGTGTGCGGAGTAGCGACGGCCGGTGCCTTCTTTGCCGGTGATAGTGGCGGGCAATCTGCCCAGCCAGGTGCCGAGACTCTCGAGCCAGGAGCGGGGAGAGGGACTCGCCAGAGGGCTTCTTCGCGTTCGCCATGGCGGTCCTCCGTGCTCTGTTGGTGACTCTGCTGGCGAGCGCCGTTCTAGGCTCCGGTAAGCGAAGCGGGGGGAAATCGGTCGGGCAAAACGAGCTGGAAACAAGCCGAAGCAGGGGATTTTCCGTGACGCCCCGTTTCGCTCTCAAGGCTTGCAGGGCTTGCAGTGGCCGCAGAGGGTGATGCGGCACCGACTCGACGTCCAGCGGGGAGGCGGCGTCGGCATTGTCGGCGGCGACTCCATCGACATCCGGGACGCCCCCTTCCAGGTGACACCCTCTCGCCCCCAGTGGCGTGCCCCAGTCGGAGCGATTCGTTCGCTGACCGTTTGCTTGTTTGCTGGCCTTTGCCTTTGCAGCTGAGCTTCCAGCTGTACGACAGGCACTTCTGCGGGGCGTCCATCATCAGCAAGAACTTCGCCCTGACGGCGGGGCACTGCGCGAAGGCAGGGTGAGTGCAAATGCCGTTTGGCGAGAACGAAGAACGACCTCACCGTGACACTTTCAAGTGTCTGCCGAGTCGGACCAATTAACGCTGCTCACTCGAATAGCATCCGATTGGAATGAAGCGGTCGCTGCAGTTATCTTATCGAGCGCGCGTCTCGAGAGTTGGACCATGCAGAGATTTGAGGACGTTTCGAAAACGGCGCTCCTCCCATGAGATTTACGTTCTTTCGCGACGAAAGAAAAAGTTGTCAAAATGAATGGCATCTCATTCCTAAATCGTGACTCGCAGACACATACCCTGGCGTCCGTTGGACGTCTGAAAATAACCCACATCCCAAACATCCTTCCAGCGTGACGGCCTCCTCGGGCTTCTTCCGCGCGGGCTCCACCAACCGCGACGAGGACGGCGTGCGGTACGCCCTGCAGAGCATCACCACCAACCCCAAGTACGACTCGGGCACCGTGGACTTCGACGTGGCCGTGGTGCAGATCCAGGGCGAGTTCCAGCTCGGCGACACGCAGCAGGCCGTGCGCCTGCCCGCGCCCGGCCAGGCCAACATCGAGGGGCTCATCGTCACCGTCAGCGGCTGGGGCAACGAATACGTGAGAGCGCGTCGGAGACGACCATGCCGGAGGACAAGAGCGTTCTGGAGTCGCCAAACGCCCCCTTTGCTGTTACAGGAACAGATGGGCGGGTCCGGGTCGCTGCAGCTCCGCGCCGTGACCCTGGTCGGGCTGACGCAGCGCGCCTGCAAGCTGGTGTACGGCAATGCCCTGACGGCGCGCATGCTGTGCGCGGGCCGCGACGGCAGAGACTCGTGCCAGGGCGACTCCGGCGGGCCCCTCGTCCTCCGCGACGCCAACAACGTGCCCACGCTGGTCGGCGTCGTCTCCTGGGGCAACGGCTGCGCCAGGAGGGGCGTGCCCGGCATCTACGCGCGCGTCGCCGACCCCGACCTGCGCGCCTTCATCCAGAGCATCGCGGGTGTCTAAACAGCGGCGTCTAATAAAGCACTGCAGCGTCCTCGCCGCTACCCTATTTTGGCTTTCCCTTCCTGGCGAAAAGATCTGAGGAGAGCGAGAAAATGTGGCAAATCCACTCACAACATTAAATTATGCCTTCCTGGGGCATACCGGGAGGAGAGGGTCAAGTCATGGCACTGAAGTTACTAGTCACATCAGGGTCACAAGGGTCACGCTATTTCGCGAGTTGAGTTACGCGCGCCCAGAGCCAGAGCAGAAGACTTCCGAAAACAAGTGAGGGTTTGTTATGTTCCCGGCGGCCATTTTCCTTCTTTCCGTTCATTTCTTCGATACCAACCACAACACCTAACAAATTCAAGTTGATTAGTTTTTTGTTTCTCTGCATGTTGCGCTCAATTACTGTGACAAAGGCGTATATAACAAATAATCTGGTTATTTTAAATACCCCGGAGAAAATTTCCTTGCATTCTCTAATTTCATAACGAATACCTGTATATTTTTCTTATGTTGGACAAACAATCAGTAATGTTTACGTGCCATCATAAAAAGCACTTTCGAGAGATTGTTTTTGCGTCTTCGCACGAATTGTTTGAATTTTAAGACTATTTTCTGCCGAGAGCAAGATTTTTCTCAAAATCAGGCTTTTTATGTGGACACAAATGCATTATCAGTGAAGAATAGTCCTTCTAGATTTGGACATTATTCAGTTCTAACCTTCCTTGTGGAAAGGTTAGGGTTAAGTTCTTTTCTGCTTGTGTGTAAACTGAAGAGAAATCTCATCGCAGGCAGTTTTATCACTGGTGCTTTGTATTGAAGAAAGCTTTGGAGATTTTTACTGCTAAATATGATACTTGAGTGAAGTTTTAGTGGTGTTCTGAACAAATCCGTGTGGTGCAATGGCTTCAGTCAGCCCGGAATCAAACTGGGTGGAATTTTGTGATAAACATGCCAAGTCCGCCGCTGCTGACTTTGCCAATGCATTCAGCTCCTACAACAGCAGCCACATGTCTGACACTGCGCGCCACCATGTATCCCACAAGGAGTTCCTCCGCAAATTTATTGACTGCTTCCAAGAGCATTTTGAGGCGGAGTGTGGTTCTCAGAATGCGGCTGCTGGCAAGAGTCTAGCCAATGGAACCCTAGGACATGATGATATGTCGGACTATTCTGAACATGACGCAGAGTCACCGTCCCCAAAACCTCAACCAAAGCCTTTCTTCCGCCGGTTGTCATTTAAAGGTCTTAAGAAGGGCAAGGCCTTCTTCCAGAAACAGAATTCAGATGAGGTTGAACTTTCACACTCCCATAGTGATAAAAAAGACAAACATTCCAAGACCAAACTTGCCAAAATTGTTGTTGAGTGCCGGAAAGAAGGCATCGTCAATTATCTTAGTGGTGAAAATCTTGATGGAACTGGGAAATGGGACAGATGCCGTCTTGCCCTCGTCAAAACAGTCAGTGGTTACATGCTTGAGTTCTACTCACCTCCAAAGGTACTACTATGCATTTATTTTTGAGAAGTTACCTGATTTTTATGATCTGCTCATCTTTATAGGCTAAAACTGTAAAGAATATGAAAATATTTTACTAACTAAATGGACAATTCTCTATTTCAGGCCCCCAAACCAAGAAGTGGGGTATTTTGTTTTCTTATACTAGAGGCAAGAGAGACAACAGCTCTTGAAATGCCTGATAAGGAAAACACTTTTGTCTTGAAGGTAAGAACTTTTTTTAACTTTCTCGAAATTGATGCACTGGATCCCCTGTAATAGGGTTGAAGGGATGATGACAAAACTTGTTAAAACCAAGAAGTGTTTTTTAGTCAATCACTGTATTTTGGTTCCAATTTTTAGGCTGAGAATCAGCAAGAGTATGTGATTGAGGCCCATGATACTGATGATATGAAGTCATGGCTAGCCACCATCAAATACTGCATGAGATCAACCACACAACCTGTACCGGAGCATCCGGAAGCCAAGTAAGGTCCTAAGATAATACTGGGGGATTTATCTCCCCTTCTATATCAGATCTGAAAACTACATTTCTGTCCACAGCTCTCGCCAAGGAGGCCCAAGTAACAGAGCAACTGCACCATCACTTGATGGTGACAATCTAGAGCATCCTCCAGAACTACCCCCTAGAGTTGTTGCAGCTAGTGGAGGTCGATCTACTGCAGAAACCACTGCAGGATTGAGATTATCTAGTAATAGTAATTTTGACATCTGTTCCTCACGCACTGATATTGAGACAAGTATGTGCTTCAGCTGCTCACTTATAAGTCATATAGTTCTCTAAAATGTTTTCTAATTATTGGGCCTTATCTTTAAAGCAGGTGAAACGGAGGCCGATTTATCTTGGATACTTAGGGATTACCCTTGGTTCCATGGAACTTTGCCTCGCTCTGAAGCAGCACATTTAGTCTTACATGAAGGCTCCACTGGTCATGGGGTTTTCCTAGTTCGCCAAAGTGAAACTCGTAAGGGAGAATTTGTCCTAACTTTCAATTTTCAAGGAAGAGCAAAGGTATTTTTTGTCCATTCAAAGTTTTCCTGTAATTGACACGCTGTTAAGCATCATAAATATATATTTTTGTGTATTTCAGCATTTGAGAATGACACTTAATGATCAAGGTCAGTGCAGAGTTCAGCACCTTTGGTTCCCTGCAATATTTGAGATGCTAGAACACTTCCGGGAGCATCCTATACCTTTGGAATCCGGTGGAACAGCCGATGTTACATTAACGGACTATATTGTGTCTGCAACTGGGCACACAGCACCAAACGTTTCTTCAAGTGCAAGAGGACAAACATCATCTACTCCTGCATCTACACCAACATTAGTGCCCTCTTCTCTTAACACCACTCCAGTGGATTCAAGGCCACGCACTGTGGCAATGTCAGAGGGAAGGGAGGTGAGTCATGGAGCGTATTGCTAAGCTTGTTTATTGCTATTCAATACAGCCTTTATAAGACTTAAATGAGTAGTTAATAATTAGAGAGCCTAAAACAATTAGCTATAAATAGGTTTCAATTAATCTTCTCTGGTTTGGAAAAAAAGTATTTGAGCTGAATTATAATTTTTTGTGTGCTGCAAATATGTAAGAAAAGATGAATTATTGGCCATCAATTGTCTTTCCACCACATCCCTTCAAAATTTTTGCTTTTGTCTAAATTTTACAATTGATAAATGGTCATTAAACAATCTGCTTTTCATCTTTGTAGCTTTTCATGACCTTACCTGTTCAAAAAATGGTTCGTTGAATGCTTGGCAATATAGTGTAGTTTATGTTTATTGCTCTATGATTTATAAGTGATGCTCTAGTTCTGCTGCTCCTCTCGAATTTCGCCTGCATGTTAAGCAGAAATGTACAATATCTCTTGGGGTCTCTAATTTCTCTAGTAAAAATGATTTGTGTAAGTTTGAGGAGGCACATCTTGCTTTGTTGGGCAAGATTTGAACTGATATTTGCTAATGTGTCTAATCAAATATTTTTAAAAGGGGTGTTTCCTTAATGGTAGTTTTTACCATTGTTAGAGATCTCATTTGTTGTGTTTCTTCATGTTCATTTGGTCTTCAATTGAGGAAGACAAACTGTGGTCTTAAAGTGATTGTGCATGTGTGCTGTCACTTTGCTTGGATAAGACTCTTTGTTTTTGTGTAAAGTGCATGTCTGACTGAAATATTTTGTTCATACTTGTTGCCTGCTGAGAACTTAAGCATATTTATTATTCATGGATGCTTCTAACAATTAATTATTAACAATAAAATGGTCGTAGCTGCAGGTGTTTCAATGCTTTTTGTGGCTTTTTGTTTTTAAGTCTGGATTTAAATTTTGTAGCTGGCAAGGGTATGCTGCTTTTTAACTACATTTTTAATGAAAAATTCTTTTTGAATATTGGGTAAAAGTGTTTTAAGTGATAATGCTGGTAAGTGTTATTGCACATTTTTAGGCTGTGATGTGTTCCTTGTTATTGCTGCAAGTAAAAAGAAAAATATAACTAAGTAAGCTGTTAACTGATGTTTGTGTTATAACAGTATTTCTTAAAAGGCATCTCTATTGTTCCATCCAATTCTTACCATTACTCATGACACATAGTAATTTATATTGTTTTGCACTGAAAAGAACATTCTTTTCTGTCCTGAGGTTTGCAAAACACTAAGTACGTGTACATTCAATGACAAAACTTCAATGTGTCAGCTGCCAATGAAAAGTCTGATGTCGGTTTGATTACAGAAGCAAGTAGACTGCGTTGCCCATTTACCCATTATTTAAATCGTTGTATTGATAAGCTTTGCACCCTTTTTTTTTTTTGCATTTGTTTCTCTATTAATTGTATGTATTGATGTATCGCATTTTTGTAGGTGTGACGCATTGGCAGTTGGGTTGCTAACAGCACATTGACTCAACTTTTTGCTTTGTGAGTAAAATGCACTGCGCTATTATTTGTACACTTCTTGTCCAAACTGAGTTCAAAATTAATCCATAAACAATGATATTTTAAGTGGCAAATGGTTTGCTGGATTCGACCCCAAGCATTTTATTTTTTAATAGAAAGTTAGGTGTGTGGAATATCTAACTCTTTTTCTTTTGTAGAGTGAAGCATGAAACTTTCTACAATTTGTATCTTTGGTATTATTTCTCTTTCTGGATAGCTTCATTAATATGTGAAACAGTGATGTGCAAACTCTGTTACCTTTCTACCATGAAACTGTGTTTTGTCTTGTACTGATTCTGCTCCTGTAATGTTTGAACAGGTGGTGGTGCTAGGGGGCTCCATTCGCACACGTACTGAATCATTAGAGCAAATTCCTAGTCGTCAAAACCAGGGCACAGGGCGAGCTGTGGAAAACACCTACAGTTTTGTGTAAGGTTGTTACTTGTGAAATCTCAGCGATCTACAATTCTGAGATTTTATCTTTTATTTAAACCTTACCTTGCTGTGCCTTCGCAACTTGTTCAGCCTAGTCGTTAAAGATGTTCCTTTTTGAATGTGAGAGTAGATAGATCTTCAATCCTCTTGTGAGTGGCGTAGTTTGCTTTCAATGTTCCTGATTTGTTTGTGAACTATTCAATTTGAGGCTTTTAGTAGAAAAGAACATTGAATATCCAAAAAAAGGAATAGTTTGAAAACACGAACATTGTTTTAAAGCTTTTTAAATGTGTGTGTGTAGATGCTTCTATGTGGTAATGAAAATAGCATACCTCCTGGATGGATGAACTGTAGTTCATAATTACATGTGGGCATGTATCTCCAATCAAGGATCCTCTTCCAGTCTACTGCTAATGATGCAGCACCTTCTCATTGTGTTCCAAAAGTGTTTGTTTTGCTGTCTTCTGCTCTAATAATGACATCCTGTTATAGTCAAATAGTCATTATTTCAGTGGTAGTCACTGGGTGAATTTAAAAAAAAGGGAAAAAAAAAGAATGTTATGGATGGCTTGGATATTGCATTTGAACACATTCCTATATATTTTGTACTCTAGTTACAAATTTGTTTCAGTTTAATCTTCCTCCTGTTTTTCTGTCTTGTGTGGCTGAAAATTTCATGTCAACTGTTCCACTACATACCTTTCCCAAGTACTGTAGCTCCTTAATAGTATTTGTGGTCTATTATTCATGAACTTGTTTTGACTACCTGGAATGTTTGTATCATTGTTACACAACCCACATTATGGCTTGTGCTTTTCTTTATCATTTAGGAAACTTAATATGTACATCTAATCTGCTCCGAAGTTAGGGACCATGTGCGGTGAAGACTTCTTCACACAAGGCCTAACTGTGTGTCTTGTGCCTATTTGATGATTTTGTTTTTGTATGTAAGCTTTAGCTTGTGTAATATTTTAGTAGCAAAACCATGTTTTCAACATACTCTTTTGAGTAAAATTTTATCTGATCAATAAGTTCCTCTGTTTCACTAATAAAATATCTAGTGTTTTTCCATAGCTGAACAGATTTTATGTTTTATATGAACTTTTTCCATTTCTTCTGTGTCCATTAATATTATATTGTAGAGAAATTTGTATCGCTCATAACGTGTGAAACTTTCTTTATATTTTACATTTTTAAGTTCTCAATGCTTCGATTTTCCTAATTTGATGCTTATCTTTAATATGTTTATTAAAGTAGCTTTTTGACAAGCAACTTCTCCAGTGCAATTGATCATTACATGTGCCATAACTTCTCTTGTGGGAAATTACTGAGTAACTAGAATTTTTATCCTAATGCCCTTTTGTATTTGCAATGTCATGAACACAAACAAGGGATCTAGTTCATTGCTGAGTAAAAGTAGAACAGTTTGAATGAAGGTTATCTGTATCGTCCATTTTCTTTGGTCTTGTTTTACGTATACTGTTCTGTTACCTATTGATTTTATTCTTGTAATGTTTTCTTCAAGGCAATTAAGTATAGACCACAGAACAACTAAATGTACTAAAAGAAATTTGCAAAGCTACTGCATTTTCTTGCAATTTTTCTTTTTACCTTATCCTTGTCTGAATGTGTTCGAGGGGCTTTATAATGATGGGTTTGTAATGAGCCAATGGAAGTAATGGCTCAAAAGTAAAATCCATTGTTGGGATGAAGTGTATTACTATTGAATAAGTTACTTTTATTCAACTCAGGAAAAGTGTTAGTAAGTGATATGTTGTTGATGTTTGTCATTGTTATTGTTGTTGTTATTCTGTATCATGTTATGTTGTTACTAATGATCAAGTGTTCAAATCTCTTTATGGACCGTGCAATGGACTTTTTAGCTTCCTAGATAGACTCCGTGCTCAAGCTCAACTAATTTTCTTAGATTTTCTAGCAGATGTCATTTCGATCAAATTTTGCCAATCGCCTTTGCACAGATTGCTGTTAGTCTGTGACTTAGTTTCAGTGATGGCATTTACACAATTCACAAAACACATCAAGTGCGGTGTGACCCTCATCATACTATGGTCACACATGAATTGATTTGCTACCCTTTGCCATCTGACATGCTAACATACTAACATATCAATTCGTTGGTACTTTTTTTCTTGTCTGAGTTTTTTTTTTAAGAAGAGGGAAAAAAGATTTTTTTAATCTGTAACTCAGTACACAGCCTATCCTTTCACTTTTTAAAATAAAACAACAACATGGTGTTGTTAGTTTTATGAATTTAGTTCAATTTATGTGTCTGTGCTTTTGTCTTTGGAAGGCTTCTGTTGTTACTGGGCTCATAATTTAGACTTCACGTTTCTCCAAATTGCTGATAAGGGGGACATTGGGTTGTAAATTAGGTGTTAAGTTCAGTGAAGGCTGATGATGAACCATGAATAAGGCTGAGATGTCTTCACAGATCACTGCTGAAGAAATAGTGATGAGAAATTGAATAACTTTTACATTTATATTGAACACAGATGTAGCCCATTAAAGTGTAGATTTTTCATCCCTTTCATTATCCTTCTTAGAAAGGTCAGCACAGCATTGAACTCTGTGTAATATTTTATTGAACTTTTAATTGTGCCTGTATTGTATGTGTGTCCACAGTATAGGGGCTGTCTTAACCCCTGTTAGTCGGATGTAGCTGAAAAGCCCAATAGTATCCCTGCTTTGTTTTTGTTTGTTCAATGTTCAACTTTTCAGGAGAATAATTGAATTGTCTATTCTTATGAGGCATATTCTAATAAAGTGGAGGAATAGCATTCACTCACTAGGCTTAAGGAAAAAATGGCAATGCTTTAGAAGCTAGTAAGTGTAAGTTTTATTGTATGCCTTTTAGTTACTTGAGTACCTTAACACCAGTGCATGAAATTTTGCAGGCTTGCGGACTGTGTGCATTGCCAAATTATGTGATTTTAAATCAGTTTTTTTCTGTATATCCCTGTTACAAAGTATTTATTGTAATTATTTTTCTAGAAAATCAAGACCCAACTATTGGTGGTGTAATTTTTTTTTTTTTGAATGCGTTTGTAAATTTGTTGTAAAGTATTGACATTCTAGTCCAAGATCAGTGGTAGCTGTGTGTGGTGCGAAATGTGTATTCTAGAACATCTTATTTGTGCACAATCTTAAAAGTAATAAGCAAGAAGGTTTTTATTTTGTAAATCTGCAGTCATGTAATAGCATTTTACTGTTATTAGCAGGAATTTGTTGTGACATGTTCCTTCAATCGCTTGTGCTCTTATTAAAATACTCCATTTTATGCTCTCTCACAAAACCAAAAATCCATTTCAAAATCTTGGTCTGTTTCTTTAAATTGTAATAGAATTTTCATTTTTTAAAGTTTTTAGAAATTGTACTCATAGAAACTGACTACTTACTCTTCTGTCTAAACTCAAAGTGCACATTTCTGAGCACTTTGTAGGAGTTCTTGTTCAGAATACTTTTCACATTGACGTTCAAGGATATCTACTCCACATAAAGAGCTATAAAACAGTCCTTGTAGACTTTTCTAAACTACCAATGGCTTAAAACAACTATATTTCAAAATATTTTAATGGAAAATTATGTGTGTCAGATGTAATTTATGGTACAGCAAGTGCATTACCATCTTTTGGTAAAAGTTGCTTATTGTCTGATTGTTTTCTTTTGTTTCTTTTTGGTGTAATGTGTACATATTGTACTCAAAGAAAATAAAGTCTAACTTAGTGAACATATACCCAACATACTTCAAGGACCATTTCGGCCTCAAACAGTCTTTTTCCGGTGAAAAACTGGAGTTATCTGTGCATGCACCAGATAGGTAGGTGGTGAGTGAAAAAATGAACATAGACAAAAATGTCAAGGAACAGATGATTTATTTAATTTTGCAGACATTTAATTTTCTCACACTTAATTAAGTAACCAAGTACAACTTGATTCATTAGTATAGCGCTTTCAACGCTAAAATCAGTCAAATCTTTCAACTTTATCTTACAAGTGTTCATGGTTGGAATGTTACAAGAAGTAATTAAAAAGAAATACACAAAAAAAAACAATAAACAAACAAACATTAGCTATAAGCCATGTAATAACAGTTGATTTTTGGTTCTTGTGAAACCATAAGCAAATAAAAGTTTGCACATCAATATGAACAGTAAGTCTAAGATTCTTAACATTTACAAAAAGTGAAACAGTCACAGAGAAGGGTATGACTGAAACACAATTCCTTACAACAGAAACAATAATCACATGGTAAAGGCTGTGGCAATGATAATTGCAACCCACAATGTATACACAAGATTATAGTATTCTATTCCACATCCTGCAGTAAATAAATACCTGAACCACATCAATATTGTTTAACACACTATGCAATAGTACAAGGCCAGTCTTGTAGGTAGTGTTGCAAAGTAAAGAAATATAATAATTAGATGCCTTTGTGGCAAAGTATCTCCACAAGCAACAGTGCAACTTTACTAAAAGCTCATTCTCCTCCTTTTTCTGGCAGTTGATAATGGACCACAATGACATTACTTGCAACATAAAATGAAAATTGACACAATCAACAAAATTAGTCACGACCAGCATATGATAAAACTCAAGAGCACAAAGAAAATTCAGCGATATCAAAACATTTTCTTTTTTCTTCTTGTGAGCTTTATGAAGTTAGAGTATTTTAAATTGCATAACAAAATATTTACAACTTTTCATAATCATTTGATCTTTTGTGACTGATCACCCACATTCTATAATTTTCACAAATATATTAAGGATAGTACAATTCAAATAAACTCTCATGTGCACAAATTTGGCACTGACACCATTCAAAAAATCTTAATATGTATTTGGCATCTTGGGATCTCTAGCACTGGTATAAAAATCTTAAAAGATAATGTAAAACAGAAGAATTTCATATTTCCATAATTTCCTATAAACCAATGACAATAATCCACAAAATAAAATATAGTAACGGTTGTCCACACAATAACAAAAGCACCATAAAGGTTCTTGAAGTAGCTGGAACCTGTAGCCTATGACCAAATCAATAAATAGAGCCAGAACAAAACAAATAAAAAGCTCTATACTCAGTAAATGTCATCCACAACCTTAGTTCTGCAAAGCTGGTAAGAAGCTTGGTAGTTTGTTTTCTCAAATGTGATCTTATTTCAGACCCCTCTGACTCTGGAAACAGGACAAACAGTTTTCAACTAAACTGATCAAACACAGCACATAATTGTTTGTACATTTAAATGATGCCAAAAAAGTCTTTGAAACACATCAACTAACATATAAACACATGCATTTGACAAAATAGACATCAATATTTACATAATGCTGTGCAAGCACACAATGACAATAACAATGCTTCTTAGACTTAAATGCAGCAAAGATATGCCACCAAATGATAGCGGACGGGATTTTCAGTTTAAAAAAAAGGACTCTGGTACAATTAAATGAAAAAAGAAAGTGAATGATAAAATTCCAATAAATCTTTTATGTTGTGGTTGGGGCATGTCTTTGCTGCTCATTTCATGCATAATAATGGTATGCATGAAGAAAATGATCCCTAATGTGCCTTAACACAAAGCTCACAGTAATCAGCAGGAGGAGCACACACTGTGCATAGTAAGCCTCTTAAGAATAAATTCACAGAAAACACAAATATCCACTTATTTTTTACAAAACGTTTGTTGATTAAGACAACGAGAAACTAAAATTAAAGACTCAATCAAAAGAAGCACCGTGATCACATTCTCACATTTCTTTCACACACTATGTTCACTATTTAAGATGAAAAAGAGAGGCTCCAGTGAGAAAGCCTAGAAGTCAATTAATTAGCTATTGGCCTGGGTCCATTTTTACTGAACCCAAGAAATATGTTCTATTCTCACTGGAGCCGTTTTCATTGATTCATATTCTCACAACAAACCTCCACATACGCACACACATCACAGATATATGTTCAATACACATATTAATTGAACATGGTAACATCAACACAGTAAAAGACAATAACCTACCCTCAAGAAGGCTTCCTAAAAATAAAAGTAAAACAAAAAGAAAGACAGAAATAGGTCCGATAAATTTCTTTGGAAGCACTCACTTTTAGTGTCCTGCATTAAGTATCGTGCTTCACTACTTTTTGTGCCCTTTGGCCGAGAAGTCCACATTTGTACAAATATATATGTATATATTTATAAATATGTGTAGGTATATTAATAACTTATGTACATTCATTTCTTGCCATAAATCTGCTCTATTATGTACACGTCTCTTAGGCCTGAGCCTAGTGCCAGGGACGGAAGGGGCGAGGCTAAGGCGAGGCGAGACTTGACTAGCAGCTCGGCTCGGAGCACGGCCTCCACCACAAGTCCGCCGACGCGGAGGACGAGGCGGAGGCCACGGGCGCCGAGTCGCTGGCGCTGCGTTTCCTCTTGGCGGAGGCCCCAGGCTCATCGCCCGCATTCTTTTTGACGAAGCGGACGTTGTACGGGTCTTCGGCTAGCTCCGGATAGCGGAAGATGTCGTGGATGAACTCGCCCTCGTAGGCCGCCGCCTGGCCCGTCTTGAGGATCTCGTCCTGCTCCGACGCAGACCAGTCCACGCCCGAGGCCAGCCCCGAGCCCGAGCCGGCGTAGCCGTTGCGGATGGCCTCCTGCTCGCGGTGCCACGCCTTGCGCACGGCGGACGTCTTGGCGTGGTGCAGGATGCGCTGCTTCTCCTTCTCCGGCGTCGTGCCGTACCGCAAGTTGATGACGGCCGTCTGGGTGTGGATCTTGAGGTCCATGACCTGGCGGACAGAGAGACAAGTTGTTGCTACTGACTGACACTGACTGAGGCTGGGACGAGCAAGGCTCCAGCAGTTAGGCCTACCTTCTCCTTGTCGCCGGTCTTCTCGTGGAACGTGGTGTTGACGGAGCCGCCCAGGCGCTTGAGCTGGGCCTTGTCCTCGCCGGCGCGCTCGACGCGCGGCTGCACGAAGAAGAGCGTGTCCTGCGAGGCGCCGTGCACCAGCAGCAGCACGTCCAGCATGTACGAGCCGTTGAACACGGACGTGAACACGTCCCTGTAGATGGGGTTGGCCGAGGGCACGCTGTTGATCTGCAAATGAGGAGCACGGGTGAGGCTGGAGCCGCGAGCCGCGCCGAACGCAGGCAAGCGCCAAGCGGAATCAGTGGTCGGGGTCGCCACTTACCACAGCCTGCCCCTGCGCCGTCCGCGACACGATGATGCCCCTGCCGAACGGCGGCTCGAAGGCCGAACCGATGCGGAACGTCTGCAGAGGGTTGTTGGGCGGCCACGCGCCCTTCGTGCCCTTGGCGTCGACGGCCAGGTTGGAGGCGGCCGACGGCCAGCCGGACACGGACAGCCTGTCGCTGAGCAGGCGCTCGCTGACGTGGCTCAGGAAGCCCGAGACCACGCTGAGCGGCGGCCCGTCCTGCGCCCCCACCGCCATGGACGGCCGCGCCGGGGACACCGTCAGCGGCGCCGGGCTCGCGAACGGACTCAGGGGGCTGAGCAGGCGCGGCAGCGTGCTGTCCTCCACGGAGGGGTACAGCTGCGGCGCCAGGTTCGGCAAGTCGTAGCCCAGGGCGGCCAGCCAGCTGCGGTGGTCTGCAAAGGGAAAGGGGCGTTGTTGAGAATCCCTTCGGCGGACACACTGCAGCACGGCTTTGCGGCGCAAAACTGGATCGCTCACCGGTGAGGTGGTTGTGCTGCAGGCGCATGTTGATGGGGTCGTTGCCGTTGAAGCGGTAGAGGTTGAGGTGCGTGGGCTTGCTGAGGCGGGCCGGCACGTCCTCCCAGGCGGGGCCCATGAGCTGCCCGATCAGAGGGTCGTACACCTTCCCGCCCGGCATGTGCACCAGCGACACCACCTGGTCGAGCAGGCCGCCGCAGAAGTCGATGGGCAGGTACAGGTAGGGGTTCGAGTCGTACACGATGTGGCCGTAGGGCGAGCGCATGATCTCGCGGATGCCCTCGCCGTACTGGTTGAACACCATAACGGGGGTGCCGCACTGGTCCGTCGCGATGTAGTACTTGTGGCGGTACACCTGCGCGAACACGAGGTGGCCTCGGTCGTCGTACGTCAGCGACATGAGCTTGCCGTCGCGCGGGGAGTAGATCTGCGTCACCTGCAGGACACACGGGCACACACGGAGTCAGCGTAAGTGAAACAACGCCGAGTGCACTCAGCCACAGCGGCTGATGCTTTTCGCTTACCTCGCTGGGCCGCTTGTGGTTGGTGTAGAAGAACTGCGTGACGTTGCCGTAGTTGTCCTTGCGCACGCTCAGGCGGTCCAGGTGGTCGTAGTAGTAGCGGACGTCGAAGCGGCCCCGCTTGTTGGCGCGCACCAGCAGGCCCTTGGCGTTGTAGTGGAAGCGCTCCTCCCGCGCGTTCTGCGTCACCAGGCCGCGGCTGTCGTAGCGGTACACGCCCTCGCCGAACTTGACCACGCGGTCCATCTGGTTGTACTCCATGGGGATGGTGTTGCCCCGGTACGTGAGGGACAGCATGTTGCCGTTCGGGTCGTACTCGAAGCTCCACGGCTCCTGCGCCGCCACACCCGCCAACTGCCCGTCCGCGTCCCAGGTGAAGTTCTTGACGTTGGTGTACATGTTGACGCCCACGTTGCGCGTGTAGGTGCGGGTCTGGCTGATGCGGCTGGAGAGCGAAACGAACGAGGTGAGTGGGGGCTGCGCTGGACCGATGCACGGCGAATGCGCCGTTGCGCGTGCTTACCCTCGGGAGTCGTAGGAGAACTCCATGCGGAAGGCCTCCATGTTGTGGATGGTGACGGCCACTTGCACCTCCTGCATCATGCGGTTGGTGAAGCGGGTGAAGATGGCGGTGCCGTCCCCGACGCGAGTCTCGTTGCCGTTCACGCGTTGCACCTGCAGAGAGGAGAGCGGCGCGTCAAGGTAAACAAATACACCAAATTGAAAAAAAAAACCACTGCGAGTATTTGAGCTCGGGCGTACCTGGAACTGTCCGATCTGGGTGGCGGCCCCGGTGCGCGGCGAGTACGCGAGGCCGTGCTCCGGCAGTGCCTGTCCGCCGACGCGTCCCGCCACGCTCACGACGCGCATGTTGTCGTCGAACTCGTAGCTGATCTTGGCGTTGTTGAGCCCCGTCTTGGGCCCGAACTCAATGCGCTCCTCGGCCAGCAGGCCGCCCGAGTAGCCGTAGTCCCAGCGGTAGTCCAGGTCGCGCTCCGAGTGCTGCACCGACGTGGGCAGGGCCGTCTGCGGGGAGTAGCTCACGCGCGTCCGCCCGTCGCCGTGGAGGACCTGCAAGGCACCAACCATGTCAACTTGGCGGTATCCGGACCCTCAAGCACACGCGCTGGCAGCATGCTAGCAGCTTGGCGCCTGCGATCCACTGGGTAGGCCAGCCCGCGACACGCTGGAGCGCCGCGGGCTGGCCTACCCGCCAGGGGCTTCGAGAGACACTCACTTCCGCGAGCTTGCCGGCCGAGGTGTACTTGTAGATGACGCGCGCGCCGTCGCCGGGGTAGACGGTCTGCAGCAGCAGCCCGCTGTACGAGAAGTGCTGCAGGTAGGGCCGGGTGGCGCCGGGCGCCGTGTACGTGGCGCGCAGGAAGCCTAGGGACGGCTGCACGGACAGCGAGTGGTGGGTGCCGCTGGGCAGCGTGATGTGGCGGAGGCCGCCGTCGGCGTCGTAGCGGAACTCGAACCGCCGCTTGCTGGGCAGCGTGATGACGGTGGGCTGCAACAAAGGGCACGATGTGGGACACTGCGGACACGAGATTACAGTGACGTGCCTCCCGCGTACTCACCACGTTGAGCTCGTCGTAGGTGAAGGCCATGGCGCCGTCCTGCGGCGTGGAGACCTCGGAGAGCAGCCCCTTGCGGTCGTAGCTGTACTTTTCCTGCTGGTCGCCCCAGCGCCACGAGTCGACACGGCGGAAGCGGTCGTACGAGATGTTGACGCCCGCCTTGCCACCGCTGGGCGTCCACGACATGGGCAGCCCCTCGTGGTCCAGCGCCACGGTGAGCAGCGGCTGCCCCTCCCGGTCGATGAAGGTCTGCCGGCGGGTGGCCTGGTCGTACTCCATGGCCAGCACGCGGCTGTGGTTCACCCACAGGTCCTGGTGCAGCTTGTGCTGTGAGCTGCCCGCGTCGCCGACGATGTTGTAGCTCCAGGCCACCGAGTTGGGCGCCACGCCGGGCGACGCCGCCACCACCTGGTCGCTCCACATGGGCAGCATCTCGGCCTCGACGGGCAGCGCCAGCTCGAGCAGCGGGTGGCGGCGGCGCGCGGCGCAGGCCAGCTCGCCGCCCCACGACGTCATGGCCCAGGGCCCGCGCAGCGTCAGGGAGCCGTTGCGGTAGCTGGCCGCCTCGCTGGAGTGCAGGCCGTCCGAGATGACCATCCTCCGCGCGCCGCGGCCCGCCATGCGCAGCGTCACGGGCTGCTTCTCGTTGTGCGGGGCCAGGCCGCGCTGCTGCTGCGGGGACGCGCCGGCCGTGCCGCTGGCCAGGGCGATGGCGGCCTGCGGGGCGTGCACCTCCACGGCCAGCCCGTCGTCCAGGGAGATGCGGGAGCGCAGGTCGATGGTCTCGCCCGTGGCCAGGATGACCTGCGTGACGCGGCCCAGCTCGTCGTAGCGGTACATGGAGGTTCGTCCGCCCGCGCCCTTGGCGTCCGCGCGGCTCGTCAGCAGCCCAGTGTTGGAGTCGTAGTGCAGGTCGATCTCGGAGCGGCCCGGCTCGGAGAACTTCTCGAGGAAGCCGATGCCCGAGATCTTGAGGTCCGACTTGTGGTCCTGCGTGTTCTCGATGGTGCTCACCACGTTGCTGTAGTCGCGCAGGAACAGGATCTTGTTGCCGGCCGCGTCCGTGACGGTGGACAGCTTGCCGAAGCTCGTGTTCTTGGAGTAGAGGAACGTGTAGCGCGTGTTGCCCGAGGTGAGGTCGCGCGTGGCGACGTGCTGGCCGTACCGGTTGAACACGTACACCTCCCCGGTGGGCGGGAAGGGGATGCGGAACTCGCCGTTCTCGTCGTGCGTGGGCAGGTAGTGCTCCAGGGCCAGCACGTGCAGGCTGCCCTGGTCGGCCACGTGCAGCACGCCGTCGGGCGCCACCACCATGGCGGAGATGGACGTGAACTTGGCGTTGGAGGAGAGCAGCGTCTCCCGCGAGTCCTTGCCGGTGCCCATGCCTGCCGCCGGGTCGTCCAGCTGCGGTCCGCACACGCAGCCCAGCAGCCCCGCCGCCGTGGCGCCAGCGATGCCCGCCGGCCCGGCGGTGGTGCCCATGCCTTGTCCACCCGGCCCGCCCGGCCAGGACGCGTTGTTGCTGGTGCAGTCACAGCCGTGCGCTGGGAACGCCTCCTGGGTCTGAGGCCTGCCCGCAAAGTCGGACATTCGACCGGCCGAGTCCACGACGCGGATGGCGTTCACCTTGCGCGAGTCAGCCTCCGCGATGAACAGCTCGCCGTTGGGGCTGAAGGCGATGGACAGGATGCTGCCGAGGACAGTGGACGTGGCTTCGGAGCCCTCCTCGCTCTCCAGCTCCTCCTGCTTCTTCCGGTCGTCCTGCTTGGGCTGCTTGGGCGCCTTGGGCGCCTTGGGCTTGTCGTCCTTGGCCTTGGGGTCCTTGGGCTGCGCCTGCGGTGCCGGCGGCTGCTCGGGCTGCTCCTTGGCCGCGCACGTGGGCGCGTGGCAGTGTAGCGGCATGCCGGCCACCACCTTCACCTTGCGGTCGCTCGTCAGCTTCATGACGAGGCGGTCGTCGATGAAGTGCAGCGAGCCGTCCAGCGGACTCAGCGCCAGCCCCGTGGGCCACTGCAGCTGTGCCTGCGCGGCGGGGATGGCGCCGTGGCAGGGGATGGGCGTCCACAGGTTGTGGTGGCCGTGGTGCCCCACCAGCGTGTGGATGATGCCCTTGGGGTCCACGGCGCGGATGTTCGTGCCGTCCGCGATGTACATGGTCTTGTCGGCCGCGATCACGAGCCCCTTGGGGTGCGCCAGGCGTGCCGCCAGAGCGGGGCCCTCGTCGCCACAGTGGTTCTCGTCGCCAGGCACGCAGCGGTCGCCCGAGCCCACGGCCGGCTCCGAGTTGATGCGCGGGTCCTCGATGTTGGGGCCGAGCTGCAGCACGCGCAGGATCTGGTGGCGCTCCGTGTCGGACACGTAGAGGTGGCCGTCGGCGGGGGACACCGACAGGTAGTACTGGTGCGACACCTGCGTGGCACTGCAAGCAGAAACAAACGTTAGCCTCGCCACCTCTAGCCCGTAGTGGTAATGGTAATGGAGAGCTGGAGAGCAGACGCGGCGCTCCAGCGCGTTGCGGGCTGGCCTACTCCGCCGACCGCAGGCGCCAGGCAGGCCAGGCACGCCAGGGCGCTGCCTTAGTGCCTTACCTGAGCTGCAGAACGGTGTAGATGTTGCCGTCGGGCGTGACGCGGCGGATGAGGTTGAAGTCGCCGACGTAGAGCGAGCCGTCCGGGCCCGAGGCGAGCGCGACGGGCGTCAGAAGGCGAGCGTCCCTGGCGACGCCGTTGCAGTCCTCGCACTGCAGGGAGCGCTGCAGCCCCGTGCCGACCACCACCTTGATGGTGCGCGGGTAGCGCTTCAGGTGGAGCGTGGAGCCGTCGCCCTTCTGGAGGATGCCTGCAAAAGTCAAGGGAACGCGTCAGTCCTGCGGCGAGGCGAGGGAAGGCACGGCAAAGGCGGTGACTGCTCACCCTCGTGGAAGTTGTAGTGGTGGTGGATGCTGAGCCCCCAGCCGCCGATGTCCGAGATGTCCACGTCGAAGCCCTGCAGTGTGGCGGTCTGCGTCTCCCAGATGATGTTCCTGCACGTCGAGTGCTTGTAGCCGACCGACACCTTGGCCTGCGCCACGCCGTACACCTTCTGCTTGTACACGTTGCGCTTGTTCCAGGCGAACACGTGCGTCAGGTTGGGGTCGGCCTCGTAGGTCTTGGTGTGCACCGAGCCCTCGATCTGCACCGTCACGTGCACGTGCGTGAGCGTGGCGGGCACGCGGTCCTGCGTGAGCCGCATCAGCACGGTGGACAGGTAGCCCGGCGCCTGGCTGCTCTGGTACTGCAGGAACAGGTCCGAGCCGGGGATGCGGATGGCCTCCTGCAGGATCTGCGTCTCGGCGAACACGAGGCTGCGGCCGGACAGCCCGCCCACCTTCTCGGGCATCCAGGTGGACACGACGACGGGCTTGAGCAGGGTGTGGTCGTGCGCCTCGCAGGGCCCGGGGCCCGGCCCGGGGCCGTCCTCCACGACGGCGAACAGCGACAGCGAGGACACGGGCATCTCTGTGGACGGCACAAGCACCGCGTCAGCGCCAGCACGCCAGCACGCTTCAAGGCCAAACCAAGGCGGGGTGCTTACCGAAGCCGAGCGCGGCGGCGGCCGCGGCGTCGCGGTCCCTGGGGCTGGCGGTGTCGCCGGCCAGGGGCAGCACCACGGGCGCCAGCACCACGATCTGGTTCCACGGCACGAACACCGTGCGCGTCGTCGTCTGGAAGGGGGTGCGCAGGAACTGCAGCGTCACCGCGCCGCCCCCGTTCACCAGCATGTCGAACCTGCAAGCCACAGTGTCAGTGAGGGAGCGCGGGCACGCAGTCGACGCAGTCCGCATCGAACAACGGTGACTTGTTCTTTTCGTCCCACCGGCCCGTTCGCCCGTGCCGCTGTCTAGTCTCGTCGGCCCCACCGCTTCCTGGTTCCGTTATTATTTATGACGAATCCGCGACGGGCAATACGAGTCCAATTCCTCGGGGGAGGGCCGCGACGCCGCGACACAACGTCTTGATGAATGGCCGCCCTGTATGGAGGAGGGAGGGGAGGGTGGGCGGAAAAAGTAAATGGGAAAAGAAGTGCGGGCGGGCCGGGGTGGGCCGGCAGGTGTGGCGAGGAAGAAACGGCAAAGGGGCGCGGGGCCCCCGCGGGGAAGCGACCACATCGCGGACCTCCAAGACGGAGACACGGCGCAAGTAATGAGAAAGGAGCGTGACGGGGAGATTAATTCGCGGAATTCACGAAGCTGGCCACCTCGCCTCGCCTTTCAACACTCGAAACGCATGGCGAATACTGGTGACACGGCCTGAGGGACTGCCGGGCCGCCCGGCCTTGTGACAAGGCCCAATAACCGGGCCGGGGCCTCTCGACGCCCACCTGCCAGTGTCGCAATTCAAGGTAAAACGAGAGGAGAAAGATGGCGAAATGAGAGAAAAATAAAATGAGAGCAGGGTTTTCATCCGAGCCTTGCGGAGGAATGAGCGCTGCCAGGCAGCAGCAGGGCCGGGCCGGGCCGGGCCGCGGACAAGAAAACAAAGACAAGAAAGACGGGGAGGGAAAACAAGAAAAACAAGACGGCGGACTATTGCGCGCGGAAACAAGGAAACAAGGAAACAAAAGGGCCTCGCTGCCCCGTGCCGCGCCGCGCCGTGCCGCCCACACTGTCACACATTCCATTCCATTCCTCGGGGAGAAAGAGAAAGCGGTCGGACGGCGCCAGCCAGCACGCCAACATCGCAATGACAGGGGGGCTTATTCGACCGGCCGCGTTCGGAGAGAGAGAACGAAAAGGGAAAAAACATTCAAAGCGTAAATATTGATATTTTCCCCTTTCCATTCAATAGTCTTAAAAAAAAGCGCCCTCCAAAACAACAACAACAAACAAAGAGGAAAATGTACGTACCAGCCTCCGGCCCTCGTGAGTGTGAATCCGAGGCGGGCGTCCTTGTCCACGGACACCCGCACGCCGTAGATGCCCAGGCCTTGGGGAGTCACCACCTGGCCCCTCATCACCGACACCCGCCTGCACAATCGGACATGGTCACTGCGAGCCCCCGACGGGGCCGCGCCCCGCGCCCAAAGCGCCCCGCGGCCCCGCAGGGAGGCCGCCAGGGACGCCTTGGCGCGCGGGGGGCGCGCCCGGCCGCTACGGACTAGGACGGTCGGTGCAAGTTCCGAAACGGAGGCTACGAGTGCGCGTTTTAGAAAAGAGGGCAATCGAGGTGAACTCCGGCATGTCCCGCTGCAAATGCTTGTGAGGACAGAAACAAAAGAGTGTTACTGAATACGATCACAAAGATTAGAACGACCGAAAGAGTAAAAGTTGACGGACAACACACACAACATTGGCAGTAAAAAGGGAACGGCACAAGAAGGAGTTCACCAGTTGCACTTAAATTTCTCAGTACTCTCAGAAAACAACAAAAAACATTCGAATTTCGAAACAGTATGATTAAAAACGTCTCCGTTTTAGTTTCGCGCGTTTCTGAAGCACACTGTGTGCTCAGCGAGTTTTGTTTTCATTAGTTTTACGATTCCATGGACACAATAATTAACTACACATATATACATGACAAGATGGAAAGGCGCTCCAAACGTGACAGAAGAAGATATGCAGCTTGACAGCGCCTCCAGGCTAAGCCAGGATAGGGCGAGGCTTTGATGCCCAATGAGACTGCGCAAGAGGCCGATGCCTTCAAGACCTCCCAACAACTTACAGAGTTCAAGCATTCAACTTGGTTTTCCCCTTATGAGGGCTGAAAGAGCGAGTGACTTTCGAATTGCAACAGTCATTGGGCCCAAAGCCTGACCGTTTCCCCATGCAAACCGCTACGAACTAGCGGTTACCTAGGCACAATGCAAACTTACCTCGATGCAAAATAACAAGAAATTAAACAAGAGGCAGTGTACCCAGGAAAACCAAACTAGACTGCACATATTCAGCAGTATTTCTCTGTTTTGATTTTCCCTTCTTTGGTGATACCGATAAAGACTACTGGCAGCCTTTCTTTCGTGCTATTTTTTTTGGTACAAAGTCAAACATCTAATAGATCCACGCTCACCATTACCGGTCCGATACCTCAACCATACCATAGAAAACTACATGTTACAGAACGGTACAACAGCGGGACTCGTGAAAGAAAGACTGCATAATATCGTAACGAAAAGCAACAGAAATATAACACTTAAAAATAAAGTATTAAAAAAATCCATGGCAAGTCAGAGAAAACGGTCAAATTGGAGTAGGACCGCTCGAGAACGCAAAGGGACGAGACCTAGTTACACAAAACCACACAGAAAACGTCGAACGCACAGAGAGACAAGTAGGAACGTTATCAAATCAGTCTGCCGAGGCTCATACAGGTGGCGGTGAGCCGGGCGAGCCTCGTAGCGACCGTCTGCGGAGTCCACAGCGTGGACCTTCTCATCTCGTCATTTCGAGAAACGCGGAGACACTACTCCAACATTTCCGATATTCCCAATAACTTCCATCAAATCAATATCACTTTCAAACAATGCGGAGTAGGAAAGCAGCGTAGGTTTTAGTTGGCAAACTTTCCGCGACCAACTAGGAGGAGCGGGGAGGGCAGGGAGGAGGGAGAGGGGCGGGGTGTGGCACACATAAACATATAACAACAGGAACAAAGCAGGGTAGGGTGAGGGAGTGGGAAACACGTAAGACGCAGACACAGGAGGAACACACATAGAAAAATAAACACATACAACGTTTCAAACAGCTGCCATTTTCAACAATACTAAAACTCAATAGAAATAAAATGAACTTTTCGTTTGAAACGAAATAAAAAATAGCACAACATGTAAAGCAAAATAAAAAAAATCTAACGGATAATACTAAATACAAACACTACTCCAGAACGAAAATAAATCCACACAAATAACACACATAGAAAGACAATGATACAAGCGCAGCGATGTGAGCGGCGAAAGTACAGTACGGCAAGTGCAAGTAAAGCGACATGTAACTTAGATTATGGGGCAGGTTTGTGAACCAAAAATTTAAGAAGCCAAGGATGAAAACTTTGAAAGGACACACATGACGTGAATGACGGAATGCTGAAGCCTGCTGACAGCTTCACGTACCGGAAAAGCACGAAACAAATTTAAATCAATGACTGCGAAATTTTGTTTGAGACGTTTTTCAACGACAGGCCAAAATATAAATCGGCCATGAGTCTGTTCCAAAGTAAACAAAAAGGGACGTGAAAAAGCTGAGAGGATCGCAAAAGAAAAATAAAAGTATGCAAAGAAACAAACGGGAATGGTTCAGGATGGAGGGTAATTAAATTTGCTGGTATATACGAATTTCGTATGCAACTTTCGGAAACTTACCGCGGTGTAAATGAGCTCCAGAATTGACTACGCGTTGAAAAATAATGAGAAACATGGGGTATTACTATCCGCTCAGCTCAAGCCAGCAAGTACGCGTTTTATTTCCTGCAAACTGTACCGCAGGTGATTTCGAGAAATCACAACGATTTAGGAGTCAATGTTCGCCAATGAGATGCAAAAACAATTCGTTTTCTGCGGTACAGTTCGAGAAGGAGCGCCGAAGATGTAAAATGGCGCTATGCGTCACACTTTAGCTAGGACCATTCATTCAACCTTTCAGACGCAGTTTATGGAAATGAGAAAGAAGTCTATTCTCAACACAGCAATAAGCCGGTTTTGTACATGTTCAAATGAAAACTTTAATTTATTTACGGTGTAGGAATAAAATTTGGAAAATAAAAAGAAAATTTTAATGTTGGGGAAGATGGACACATTCACTCACACACTCACACATCGCACGCATACGAACGGACACATAAGGAAAATAATAATATCTAACATGAATTACAAGTGGACAAATCCTACAGGACATAGGACAGACACAAGTCTCATATGAGACCAATGGACGAAACACAACTACAAACACACACTTTTCAGCTATTTTGAGAAGAAAGCTCGAACAAAAATAATGTGCTTTTGGGACTTTGAATTTAGCAAACTTCATCACTGCTCAAACCAGAGTGTCTCTTGGTTCCTTATTTCATGAAAAATGCAAATATTACTTAATGCAGTTAGCAACTTTACTTGTATTCGTATAAATATTACGGATAAAATTTTGATGAAATTTGTTTTTAGGGCTGGACTCTAAGGTAAGACCTACTATGGCAGCATAAGTTAGAAACTTACAGACACAGGACGAGTAGCACGTTATGACAAACACACACACAGTTCGACACATACAAGAAAAAATGTCTTTTTCTTGTATCACATATCAAACAGAAACAAAACACATAAAAAACGAAAACAAAAAAGGGTAGGGTAAACATGAGACAAAGACACAGGGATAGGTTACAGGGCCCGGAGACAAAGCAATTAGAGTCCACATGACAAATGGAGAATCCATGCCGTCCCCCGCGCAGTAAGGCCGGGCAGACAGGCCGGGCAGGCGGGCCGGGCAGACCGAGCAGGCAGGCACGCAGGCCACGTCGCCCGTTCATTGATATGAACGGAAGCGAGTCCAACAGGCCCGACTTGTAATAAAACAATTGAAATGCGCCAAGGGTGGAGATTGTAAAAGTTTTGTCTCCGAGGGCCCTGGGGAGTGAGGGGAAGGTGAACGCAGGAAGGATGGATAAGGTTCGGGAAAGCGGGGCCAGGCCAGAGGGTTGGGGGTTGGGCCTGCCCAGGGGCCTGCCCAGGGCGAGGCAGGCCGGGCCCAGGGCCGGGCGAACAGGACGGCGCCCCCTGAGCCCCTCGCGGGGCTCTCGCGGGGTCTTCGAGCGCCCAACAACTTAAACTAACAAACAAACAAACAAAACCCCAACACAAACCACGGCCAGCCAGCCTGCAGCGCGCCCAGCCCTCAGGACTGGAGTTAGTACGTGTTCTGGAAGTAATAGTTTTAGCTGATTCAATTACTCGCTGCCTTTTCGCAGGGCAGGGCCGTGCAGTGCTCATAGACACGCATCACAAATAATTTGACATCCCCATCTTGAAAATGGTTGTTACGGTGAACGATTTATCCGTGTCAAAAATTACTACAAACACAGTTTTTAGAACAACGAAAAATTCCTAATTCTATGAACCGAAATTTACAAGTTGATTGGGTACGAACGAACCAGGTCAAAACTCCGATACCGTAACCATTTTGTTGACTTCGAAAACAACTAAATCTTATTGACCATTTGGACCGCCCTGCCCCTGCAACAACGATCTCTCGAATACGACCGGCGCTCCGGAGCGCCACCCAAAAGACTACAAGCACGAAAAACCAATCATTTTTTTTTCAAAAACACTCCAGGCGGAGGAGGGGCTTTGCTCTCCCGCCCGAAACGGTCCCACCACCACTCACAACACAAAAAAAAACCATCACACACGCTGCACTTGGGGTCAGCGTGAGCCAGGAACAAGGGCCAAGCAAAGCGTAAAAAAAAAAAAACAGGTTTCACTTTTGAAAAAAATATCGATTGGTATTTGAAGGTTTGAAACGCGACAGGCCCAAGGAATGCTGCTGTTGCTTGGCCCCGCTTGGCCGCCACTGACCCCGAACACACGAGTGAGTACCAGACAAAGCGAGACACAACAACGCGGCCGACGAGGGGCTCGCGAGGAGCGGCCTACCTTTCGGTGTAGCTCTCGGTGTGAGCATAGCTCTGCACCGAGTTCTCCTCGATGAGGAACTTGACGCGCTGGTAGAAGGACGCCGTGACCAGGGGCGGCTGCTTGCGCAGCAGCACCTCCACGGGGTTCTTGGAGGAGAGGCACATGATGTGGGACAGGCAGATCTCGCTCAGGCAGCACTCGCTATCCGAGCAGTCCATCATGCCGTCTGCAACAACCAGCCGTTAGCGGAAACAGCGTTGCGGCGTACCGCCGTCTCCAAGTGCGCAACGCGCGGAACCATTTCCGCCTCAACCCTCGCGCTGACGAGCGCGTGGTGGTCGAACCTGCTACCCGCGGCGTGGAACACTCACCATTGTCGTTGTCCTTCTTGTCGTTGCACTCGGTCTCCAGCCGGATGCCGCAGTCGCGGCCGGCCCAGCCCTCGCCGCACACGCAGCGGTACTCGCCGTCCTCCAGCATGCACGTGCCCTGGCGGTTGCAGCCGTTGAGGCAGCCCGCTGCAACGGAGAACAAGGTCCTGGGTTCAAGTCCCGACAAATGCGCAGTGCGCTTTTCGCTTTTCGTTTCCCCCGTGGCTCGGGAATACTAAAGCACTGCCGGAGACATGTCCCCCCCCCCCCCCGAGCAGACGACACAGCGACGCGGCCAAGCCCAGCCAAGGCAGGGACGCGTTAGCCTAACAATAACACTTCCAGGCGATTTTATTCTGGTCTTGAACACGCAGCACAGTCGTATCGGCGAAAGGGGGTGGAAAGGGAGGGGGAGGGGTCATTGACGTAGCGATTGGCCAAACTGCCTTCCTAAGTGGAGCGCGTCCTGCGCGGCCACGGCGGCGTCTTCTTGTCTTGGTGTCCCCCAGCCTCGCTCGGCACGGCCCCCTCGATATAAGCAGAACCGGCAGAACCGGGGATTGATTGTCGCTCCGAGTTGGCCGGGCTGGCCGTAAATCTCCAGTGGCGTGGCGTGGCGTCCGTGGCGCGGTCCATCCCCCCCCCCTCCCTTTCCAAATCCGGCCCGACGGCCCGGCGCCTCCATTTCCCTGCTCACGTGCTCCCAGGGTGTTTAATCGTCCAAGGACTCCGAAGGGCTCGGGGCCTGCCGGGTCTGCCGGGCTCGCGAAAGGTGAGCCGAAGCTGAAATACGCGCTCGGTCCCTCAGCGTGCCTGGCCGTGCCTTCCGGCCTTGCCCGCTTCCAGTGGCGTCGCTAGCGCTCGCGCCCACTCCCGGCTGATTGGAAGCAACCAATGCAGTCGATTTGCATCAAGTGGCGCGCCTCAGTCTGCCAGGCCTTGGCACGCCTTGGCGGCACCGCCCTTTCTTCCGGACACCGAGCGCTCGCTCCGTCCCAGTCCCACTCTGTCCCACTCTGTCGTACTCTGTTCCTCTCTGTCCCCCGAACCCAAACTCACACTGAAATCAAATCTCGATTGCTTTCCCCCGGGGTGTCCCCTCGCCGGGCCGGGGGTGGGGGAGCACTAGTGAGCATCAAGAGCTCGGCCCGCCGCGCCCCGCCCCGCCCCACCCCGCCCGGGCGGCGGGACTTTCAAATGAGCCGCATTGACTGGAACACGGCTTGGCCATTAGGCCGGCCATAACCCCTGGAATACTGAACAGTAATTTTGGGCCGTTTAAAATTCTAGGCAGCCTTCGTCGCCCACTTCTCTTTTGTGCCGGCGGCTTAATTGTGCGCCTGGCCTGCCTGGCCTGGTGGGGCGTGGGGCCGTGGGGCAGCCGGACGGGCGGAGGGGCCGCGGGCCCCCTCGTGGCTGAGCCGCGGAGGGGAGGGGTACCGCAGGGGTGGGGCCGGGGAAGGGGGTACCAAAGGGGTGGACACTGCACGAAAGTTACAAAAGAAAGGCTTGTCTAGGGTGATGAGGGAGGGGGAGGGGTGAATTAAGAAAGGTGGAGAGAAGCTAAAAAAAGAAAAGAAAACTGGGGTGGGAGGAACGAGGGTGGAAAGCGGCACTGGGAACGCGGGCAGGTGTGGCAACAAAGTGCTGGCCTCCGTCCCGGCGGCCCCCAGCCCCCAGCCCCGCACTGACCACACCCACGCCACCAACGACCCCCTCGGGACGGACACGGTATTCGACACGACACTGACACCGCGGCGCCGCCGCACCGCACCGCACAGCCGGCCGAAGCCCCGGCCAGTTCGCCTGTCTCTTTTTCTCGACGAGGTTCGCTTCCTGGGAATCCTACGCCCCGCCGACGCGCCGCGCGCCGCCACTCCACTGTCTGCTCTGCCTTGCTCCGCTCGCCGCGCGGAAGTGCGCTCTGGCTTCCCTTTTTCCCGCGCGAAATTTGTAAAGTAGGTCACGGCGTGCTGCGCTATGCGCTGGTGCGGCGCCGCGGGGCGACCCGCTGCCACTGCCACGCCACTGCCACGCCACTGCCACGCCACTGCTTGTTGTGCGAGTCACCAATGCGCTGCACGCTGCACCGCAGCCTCGCGAGGAACCGATCGCCCTTTGTCAACGTTCGCGGAACGCCACAAGGAAGAGCCCGACGGGCTGGCTGCCGACGGCGCTCCTCCGCGTCCACGCCGCACGAAAAACGTCCCCCGGTCCCCGTTTCGGTGAGGAGTCGGCCTGGAGCTCCTCCGGGAAACAAAAGGTTAATGAAGGCCAAGCTCCCTACGTCTGCGGCCGCCCCGCCCCGCCCCGCACCTGGACTGCCGTCCGTTTCGGATAATTTGCGAACACAGTCCCTCCCCCGACAAGTTGACGGAGCGCCAAGCGGAGCCGAGCGCGCGGTCGCCGTCCGGAGCCCCGGAGCCCCGCCGGGCCAGGGGGGCGAGGGGAGGGAAATCGACAGGACAGCAAACACAAGGGCGGTCGCCTCGCCCCGCCACCCCGCCCCGCCCGGCCGGGGGTCATCGTGCTGGCCGTCAAAGTCGCCAAGGCAGATGGTCGCCCTCGCCCTCGTCCTCGGCCGGCAGCCCAGCCCCAGACCCCAGCCTCCCTCGGACCGCAGTCCGCAGTCCACGCCGTGCCAGCCAGGCCAGCCAGCCAGGCCAGCGAGGCCGTCTCGCTGAGCACGGCCACGCGCGCCCACAGGCAGGCACAGCCCCCACGCGGTGGACGCTGCGGCGCGCTGCAGCAGGCGGCTTCCCAAACGGCGCCTCGTCGCGCTGTCTCTCTCGCTCTCACGGGGCGTTCGGCCCTCCCACACCGGTGCGAGAGAGACAGCGGGACATGGCGGCGCCCGCTGCGGTCCCAAGTCCGAAGTAAAAGCGAGGGTCTTTGTCGTAAAAACGAGCTAGGTGAACGCCGCCCATGTATTATTCAATGCAGGATAAATACCGGCTCTACTCGCAAACTTCCTTTCCGACCCGCTCTCCTTCTCCCTTTCTCTCTCTCTCTCTCTCTCTCTCTCTCTCTCTCTCTCTCTCTCTCTCTCTCTCTCTCACCCTGTTGGCAGCGAATCGGCTCGCCGCTACTGCAGCGCGTTAATTCGAGCCGCTCCAAGGCACGGCACGGCCCGACTTTGCGACACGTGCATTTACCAAGCACAAAGGCCTTTGCGGCGGGGCGGCGGGGCGAAGGATGGGGCGCTGTCACGGTGCCAGGGGTGGCGCGGGGTGATGCACGGGCCGCCGCTTCCGCCTACCTACGGCCCTACGGCCGCCCCTTTTCGACGATGCCTTGTGCGTGAGTGTGTGTCGTGTGTGTGTGTGGGGGGAGAGAGAGAGAGAGAGAGAGAGAGAGAGAGAGAGAGGAGAGAGAGAGAGAGAGAGAGAGAGAGAGAGGAGAGAGAGAGAGAGTGCCGGCTGCGGTGCTGCCGCGCTGCGGCGGCCGAGCGCCGTGCCACATAGGCAGCGTGAGTGCTCGGGTGCCGGCGTGCGGCCTACGCCGCAGGCGCCTCGAGCCTCCGCTGCACCGCGCTCGGCGGCACCCCGGCCGGCCCCCTCCGTCGCTCTGTCTCTCTCGCACCCCCACGGAGCGCCGCACGGCCGCACGGGTGCGAGAGAGACAGAGCGACGACGGCGGCAGTGCACCCCAACCTCACTTTCCGAACCGAAAGCGAATTTCCCGCGGCTTTCCCGGTTTATGGCGAGGCGAGTCCCGGGGCGCGTTTCCAAAATGAGCCGCAGCCAGGAGGCTCGGCCGGCTCGGCGCCGAAAGAGGATTAGAGACGCCGCCAAAACCCCGACGAAAGACATTAAAATAATAAAAAAAGAACAAGCATTCCATAAAAATATGGCAGGGAAAGGGAGGGGAGTAATCCGTGTCTTTATGTGTAGGCCCCCGTGCGACCCCGTGCGGCCCGCCGTGCTCGCCGTGCGACGCCGCCCCTGTTGTATAAAACAATCCGGCCGGCAGGAGCGAGAGAGAGAGAGAGAGAGAGAGAGAGAGAGAGAGAGAGAGAGCGAGAGAGAGAGCGATGGCGAGGGAGAGAGAGAGAGAGGGGGGAGTAAGGAGAGCGAAGAGGCCCCCTTCACCGAAACTTTGGACTGCTTGGGGGCGCCGGGCCGGGCTAGCGCCGCGCGAGGCGCCGTCCCCGCCGTCCCCGGCGCCGTCACGCGGGGTCGCGCAGGAAGCCGTAACTCAGTGTCTGTTTGGAGGCGCGGCGCGGCCGGCGAGGGGCTGCAGGTATCACCGCCGAATTACACGGCGGCATGACGCGCTGCACCTGCACTGCCCACAGTGTGGGCCCCACACCTGCAGGCCTGCACCCTCCACTGTGAGTGCACCTGCACGCCGGCGGGGCGCGGCCCCAGGTGGAGAGCCCTGCTGGAGGCTGGAGCGAAGGGGTTTGTGACGGGACCAAAATCGTACCAGAATCCCCAAGTTCGCTGCTGCGAGTTCCTCGTCTTGAGCAGCACAACGCACTCCTCGCGGTCAAACTCGGGAGAATGGCGAGGCCACACAGATGTCTGTCTGTCTGTCTGTCTGTCTGTCTGTCTGTCTGTCTGTCTGTCTGTCTGTCTGTCTGTCTGTCTGTCTGTCTGTCTGTCTGTCTGTCTGTCCGTCCGTCCGTCCGTCCGTCCGTCCGTCCGTCCGTACCCTCTCACGGCGCAATGACCGCACCGCTGAGCGCTCGCCACTTCCTGGAGCTGCCCGGGGCTCGTGATGAAGATGAAGGCTATCAATCACTGGGGCGGTGACAATCCCTTCTTCCCCTGCACGTAGCGGGGCGGGCGGGGCGGGGGGGGGCGGGGTGGGGCGGGGCGAGGGTCGAACGTGACCGGACCGGAACCGGACGTCCCCCGAGCGCCCTTAACGCCAACACGGCTATTCCATCAATTAATAAGGAAATTACCATCCCCGTACGCCTGTTCTGCTGGGTGTGCAGAGAAAAGGGAAAGGGGGGGGGGAGAGTTTAACGCGACTACGACTAGAGTGGCGTGGCGCCGCCATTGTGCCGACCTGCTTTTGTTTTGGAATATGCTGCCGCGCCACTGCTGCAAACGCGAGCCCGCGCAACAACAACAACACGCGAAGAGCGCTGCGACACAAAATTCACTCCGGTTCACTGCTGGCTGGCTGGCTGCCTGGCTGGCGGGGGGTCACGGTCCGACATCTGTTCCCGGACCGCGGGAGTTGGCGCCGGCCGAGCGCGCAGGACATTCGTGGAGCGATTGGACGCGAGGCGAGGAGGACCGCCAGTTAACGCGCGCCATCCCTTCGCCCCCCCCCCCCGCATTCTTCCCGCTTCCAGGACGTCCAGGACCGCCATTGTCGCCCACCACCTTTATCCGCCGCCATTTTTTCTCCTCGTCGCTCCCCGTTGCCTCCCCCTCCCCCTCGCGTGGATACCGCATCGCCCGCCTGCCCTGCGCCACCGCGCCATCGCGCCCGGATCATGTTTTCGGACCGCCGGCAAAAATGGACGCGTTGAAACGAAATCGCGGGGAAGAGGAGGAAAGGAAAAAAAGGAGCGCAAGGGACGGCAGGGGGAAAGGGACAGGGAGAGGCGGAGCGAGCGAGAGGGACGGAGAGCGGCGCGACGCGTGCAGCGCACGTCGATAATTGGTTTTCGATAATTAGCCGCCGCCGCGGAGCAAGCGGAGCGAGCGGAGCGGGCAGGCGGAGTGACGGAGACGTGAATAAAAACGGGGGGAGAGGGCACGGCACTGCTAATCAGGACCAGCTCGACGACGAGGCGGACGGACGCGCTCTCGAGGCGGGTAGGGGGCACTGGACGAACCGCGTCCTCCACGCGGACAAAAGCGCCACCAAGTCGAGGCGAGACGATGGCCGCCCATTATCTGCGGCTGATGAGCGGCGCGCGCGTCTCTGTCTCGCGGCCACTGCCCCTGCGGCCCCGCCGCCCCACCCTGCCGCACCGCCCCGGCCCGGCGTGTCACCGCCACCCTTTTAAAACTAATTACCGCCATAATGGCCTCATTGGCCTCCAACAAGTTCAATTTTCGAACACTACTTTTCCGCGCGCGCCCTCCTGGCCCCTGGGCCGGGCCGCGGTCGCGGTGTTGTCCCGAAGAAAGGCGTCAGGCACTTCTGGCCCTCCTGGCGGGGCGGCCCATTCAAAATGAAAGTTTTGAATTACGCGGCCCTTTAGCTCCACTCGACGGCCGCATGGCTTGACGACGGCGACCCGATCCCGTCCCGTACCATCCCGCCCTCGGCGCGCCCTCGCCGTCGGCCGGGGAGTCCCTGGCGAACCAGAGCGGCAGGCAGGCAGGCAGGCAGGCAGCCAGGCAGGCAGGCAGCCCCGCCACCGCCATCGTTCTCCGGCACGGCGGGGTTCTCGGGGGAGCGCGCGAGCCGGGAGAGCGGGCGGCGCGGGCGGAGAGCGAGGGGCGGCCGCGGAGAGCACCTTGCGTCGCTACGCCTCGCTACGCGGAGAGGTTCAAGTTACGACTCTGTCTCGGAAATGACCCCTTTGGGCGGGGAGGGGGGAGGGTTGCACCTGAACGCGCGCGGCGGCAGCGGCAGGCCGCGGGCCGGAGGGTCGCTTCTCGGGGCGGAGGGCGAACGGGGAGGCGAGCGGCAGCATCGGACACCGCCCTAGGCCCTAGGCTCGATGGGGGGAAACAGCAAGGAACCCATTTTTAAAATGCTCCAAATTCCTAAGACGCCCAGATGCCCTCAAAATTTCCTTTGCCGAAATTGAAGGCTGGAAAACACAAGGTGGTACTTACGCAGCGTGCAGTGGCGGCCGTTCCATCCCTGGCTGCAGACGCAGGTGCCGTTCTTGCACTGGCCGTGCTCCGTGCAGCGCGTGTCGCAGGGCAGCTGGTCGCAGCGTTCCCCCGTCCAGCCCGGCCGGCACTTGCAGCGGCCCTCGTCGCACACACCGTGGGGGCCGCAGTCCAGGCCGCACAGCGCTGCAACACAACAAGCAGGCCGTCAGCGTCAACGTCAGCGCCAAGAAGAAGGGTTGGGCCGTCCTCGTCGGCCAGCAGGCTGTAAATCCTCGCAGACAAAGTCGTTTTAATCTCGCCTTGCCCCCCGAACGCACGCATACACAATTTTTAATCTTGTAAGACGATGAAACGAAAAAGAGATTGTAAAAAAAGTGCGGTGCCGCGAGGACCGAGAAAATAAAGAAGGTCCTGGCCGAGCCAAGAAGACCGTGATTTACGTCAGGGGCTCTAAAAGCCAAACCCTCAAAAGGCAAATGCCACATCGGCAGGGCGCGGGCGGCTGCCTGCCTGGCTGGCGGGGCGGCAGGCGGCACGCCGAGCAGGCAGCCACCCTTTGTGCATAAGAAAGCGCGGAGGGGCCAAACTTTGAAGTGACCAGAGCCACGGCGAGGAGGGGCGTGGCGGGGCGTGGCGGGGCGTGGCGGGGCAGAACGGACATCGAACCGAAAAGAACGCCGGCGGCGGCCTGTCCAGGCCTGTCCCTCCCATCCCACACACTGTAATGTGGAGTGACTCGGCTAAAGAAGAAACTGGCCAAGTCTTCATCGGAAAGGAAAAAGGGGAACGGGAGATGGAGACGAGCGAGGAGGAAGGAAGGAAGCGGACGGGACGGAGCGAGCCATGGCGAGCCGACGGAAGCAAATATATGGACGGGCGAGGCGGCGAGGCGGCGTGGCAGTATGGCTCATTGTTATGGCGGGGCCTTGCGTTGCGGCTATGGCTGCGGGGCTGCGCTGGGCTGCGCCATGGCTGGAAGGCTGGCTGGACTCACTCCCCCGAGTCCCCCGTGCGCCGGCAAGCCTGGCAAGCCGCCAGCCGGGCGATATGTGTGGCGCGATATCCATCGTCTGCCATTGGACTCAGTGCCGCGCTGGTGGCCCCGCTGGTGGCCCCGCTGGTGGCCCCACTGGTGGCCCCGCGGGGGGCAGCGCCACGGTGGCGGCATGACGACTACACCGTCAGCCACCTACGCCGGACGGCCAGGCCAAGCGCCGACACGACACGCGAGTACCGCCCGGATTTTGCCACGAAGGAAATCTCCACATTATGGAACTCTGTCTCAGGCTCCTAAAGGCCCAAGTGCGGGCACGGCCAAGCAGTCGGCCTCGGTGGCCTGCCTCAACCTCAACGACGCCGAGAGAAGTCGGAGGAGCGAAGAACAAAACGGCCCAGCGGAAGCAACCTCCAGCAAGTGGCGCTCGGTTCGCTGCTGTTGCCCCGGCGGTGTGGCGGCGCGCCCAAGAGAAAATGCCTCCGTTTCTCTCGTCGGCGTCGTCGGCGCGGTGCAGCGGCTGAGAAATGGCCGAGAGCAAAGAGAGGGCTGCGCTGCGACGCACGACGCAGTGCAACGCAGTGCCCGGCCGGCGCTGCAGGGGCTCGAGCTGCGCAGTGCCTACGGCCGGGGGAGCGGGGCCGAGAGCGGGGCGGAGAAGGGTGTGGCGCGGCGGGGCGCGGCGGGGCGGGGCAGATTCCAGCGGGGACAGTCGCGCTGCATTGCTCGGGGGGGGCGGGGCGGGGGGGGCGGGGGGTGGGGGCGTGCACGGTGCCCCACTTGCGAGGCAGCAGGACGCTCGGGGAGGGGCGAGGCGCGGGCAGAGGCGCGCACACAGGCCCCTCGCGGGGCGCGGCGGGGCGCGGTCGATACCGCAGCCCACGGCTGGAGCTGCGGGGGTGGCGGTGGGGTGGGGTGCACTGTGTGGACGCACCTTGGACCAGCCCCGCCCGGCCCTGACCACGCCGTGCCACGCCGTGTGGGTACCGTACCCCAGTCACCCAGAGAGACCCGCAGCACACGCTACCCGTGTTATTCATCACACTGCCACCAGCACCACCAGCACCAGCAGCACGACCACCGACCGCCCGTGCTGTCGGCGGAACCATTACGCATCTGTATGACAACCGGAAGACGTCGCTCCGAGCGGCGCTGCCTCGCTGCAGGTGGATACACAGGAAATAAAAACAGATTTTAAACTTTTTAAAGCGTTCCGTGCCCAACGAGTAGTGTAACCGGACCGCCCCTAACGCGGCGTCTTCCTCCGTTTCGCCTTGAACCTGAAGTGTGTTTAGTGAATTATCCCCACCCCACCTCCCCGAGTGATTTATCCAAACGCCCCACCCCACCCCCTTGTACCAACTGGCTGGCTCTCTGCTGCAGGCCAGCAGGCGCCAGGCCCCGCCAGCCCCGCCAGGCCACGCCAGGCCCCGGGCGGCGGGCCGGCGGGCACCAAGGCGGGCACCAGCTCTGGCCGAGGCCGAGGAGGCCCAGGGGACGCCTCCTGCTGCCCTCCCTGCCCCGTCCGTGTTCAGCCCTGTGTTTACACTGGCCGACGTCCCCGACGTCCCCCCTTCGACGAGGACCGCGTCAAAGTGTCGTCCCGGCCGTGTTTAAATAGAGCCGGGAGACAAAAGTGCGGCACGACCCGGCGCCGGGCGCGGGGGAAAAGGGGGGGGGGGGGTACACGTGACAAATGAATATCGCCTGTACTGTGCGTGCCGGCGTGCAGTGGAACAAATGGTCAAGCGGGGCAAGCGAGGGCGACCGCGGCCAGGCCTTCAGCCCCTAGCCCCTACAGGCTTCAGCCCCTTCAGGGGGCGCGGGGTACGAAGGAGGCCCGCACGTCCCTCTCCAACTTGTGCAAACATTCCACCAGCGCGCGTCCGCGTCAGAGGAGAGGTGGAGCGGCCGAGCTGTTTAATTTTTGTTTTTTCTGAGGGAGAGAGGGGCTGATTTTGAAATTATTCAGTGTTTGCAAGATGGATTCAAGCGCAGGTAAGAAGGTGGGGCTGGCTGCGCGGCGGAGAGCCGCAGAGGCGGAGAGAGCTTCTCACGGCAGATCTACCCAGCCTAGTTGCTAGTGCCGGTGAAGTGCGCGGCGCGCGGCGCGCTGCGAGAGGCTTAGCCAGCTTAGGGCCCCGGGCCTCGCCCACGGCGGCGGCAGCGCTGCGCCAGGCGAGCCAGGCAAGCCAGGCAACGCAAGGCACGACGCAAAGTAAACCGCGCCAAATTGTTTCCCCACTTTGTGTACTCGCTCGCCCCACTTCGATTTCGCGCCTTCATTTCAAAAGTGGGGCGACGCGCGTCGTGGGGAGCGTCCGAGGCCGTGTGGCCGCCGTCCTTCTTGTGGCGGTCGCTGCCCGACTCGGCCCCGGACGGACAAGCGCGGCCAGTCTGCTGCAATTTGCTCGCCGCACTCCAATGAAAGGGCACCGTAATTAAGTCCCCGCCACTCCGGCAACCCGCTCGGCTACGCTCCTCCACGCTCCGCAGTGCTCGGCCCGCGCTAGTTTCGCCGTCCCTAACGAATCGGATTCAAAATAGCCGCCCGGAAGGACGCTCTCGCCCAGCTGCACTGCTGCTCCGCCGTGCTCCGCCCTCGGCCGGAGAGGGCCACGGCGCACTTGGCGGCAGCCGCGCTGCAGCTGACGTACTCCCTCGAGGTGGCTGAGGCACTGAGGTACTCGCGGCCGCCACTTCCGGGGGCGTACCCATCACGGGGTAATCTGCGCCACGGCGTGGTTTAGCGAGGCGCCGCGGGCAGGGCCGGGCAGGGCCTGCAGGCCTGCCGGCAGGATGGATGAGGGGAGGGGGAGGCAGGTGAGGTCTACCCAAAGGGTTGGGCCCTGATTGACCCCCTCCCCCTCCCGGCCCCGGCCATGGCCCGGCCTCACTAAGGGCCATTACACCGCCGCAGCCTCGGCGTGGTGGCGCCCCGGCGGCGCCCTGGTGCGCCAGGCGGGGAGGTCGTCACCATAAACCAGGCCGTCGTCGTCCTAAACCCTCCAGGGCCGCCATTTTTTTGTCGGCATGCCCGCCGCTATCGCGAGAGCACCTCGGCCCCACACGACCCCGTCTGGCCTGGCCAGTGACGTCGGAGTAGTGCTCCGAGGCCGCCAAGGCCGTCGGGGCCGTGAGGGTCTTGAGGGCCTTGAGGGCCGGCGAGCGAGCGGTGCAGGCAGCGCGGCGCGGCATGACCCGTGTCCATCAAAGCCGTCGCCACCTCCCCGCCCCGCGCCGCGCCACCCGCCAGGGCCGCCAGGGCCGCCAGCCTCCCGGGGGCGCACGTAACCCGGCGCTGCCAACTTCCCGGCAGTACTCATCCAGCCGCCTCGCCGCCTCGCCCCTCGGAATGGATTTAAAAGTTTTAAGTTTATCGCAGCGGGGCGGGGCGGGGCGGGGCGGGCGAGTTGGTCTCCTCGGGCTGCTGCCGTGTTGTGCCTCGGCGTGGCCGTGGCGCGGCGCGCCGCCTCCGGACCGGCCAACCTGGCGGAGTCTGGCGGAGCCCACTCGCATTTTAAATCGAGTTCCCGCCGCGCGACCTGGCCGCCGCAAAGTTGGCCATGACGCACGCGTGGGGGGCTGAGTGCCGGGGCTGACTGCCGGCTCTGCCCTGCCGTCGTCCTGCCCCGTCCTGTCTCGCCCTCCGCCGTCCGAGACGCTGCGGCTTCATTAGCTTCCCCGATTACTCCTTCGGATTTAAGTAGATTTAAACTTTAAAGGTGCGCCGCCCTGCGTCGCCCAGCGCCCCTCCCGTTCGACGAACCCTTCTTCCTGGTGCCGCTCCCGTACAGCCTCGCCGCGCACCATTTTTTTACGACCGGCCGCGCCAAACTGGCGAGCCGGCGGCCGTTCCGAGGCCTTCCAGCGCCTTGCAGTGCCGTTCCGGCCAGCTTGAGCCGCCGACACTTTCCAGAGGTGGGCTGGCAGGCTGGCACGCTGGAAGGCTGGAAGGCGCTGGCGGCCAGGCTGCGAGGACGCGATATCTGTTGCTCATTTCGAGCGGCCATGACGTGACGCGTTTTTACGGCGCCTTTACGACCCTGAGCGCGGCGTGGCGCGGCGCGGCGGGGCGCCAGGCAGGTACGTAGCCGCCATCCCTCTCACCAACCCCCTGGCCCTCATCACCCAGGCCAAGCGTCACATTGCTAATGGAGGTGCGCTAATGGTATGCAGGTGTGTGGCGAACTGAGACCCGACCGCCCCTCTGCCGCCACTGCCGCCCGCCACCTTCACGGCCTGCGGGGCCTGCGGGAGGCCTCGCCGCCGCCAACCCGGAGAAAGGAGCCCGCTGCACACACACACACACACACACACACACACACACACACACACACACACACACACACACACAAACAAACACACAAACCTCGCGGCAGGGCAAGGCGACGGCCCGACGGCCACAGCAAAATGAAAAGGAACACCTCCCCGGCAGCACGCGCCACGCGGCACGCCAATCTCTGCAAGCGATTCTTTCCCGTACATCCCTTCTCTTCCGCGGGGGGCTTTGGGGGGCTTTAGCTCGGCGCCGCCCTGGGTCTGGCCTGGGCCCTTGCAGCGGCAGCCAGCGGCACCGCGGCCCGCTTCCCCTGTTCTATACGGCGTTATGCCCGCCCCGCCCCGCCCCGCCCGGCCCCGCCCGGCCACGCCGCGCGCCGCTAAAACCGCTGTAAATATTTGACTGCCGCCTCACCGGCCAGCGGGGTCTGCCCGGCTGGCTGGCTGACTGGCTGCCCGGCTGGCCAAGTCGCCATATTGGCGCAAAACTCGCCATTTTATCGTCCATTAAAAGCACGGCAGCCGCGCGGCTCTCGCACCCATCCACTTAGCCCCCCTGTCGCCGTGCGCGGGGCGCGGGCTTTGTGATCCACTTCATTGCGTCACACACACACACGCACACCACACGCACACACTCAGCGCCCTGTGGAAGAGAAAGGGGTGCCAATGCGCGCGCCGCCCGTAACGAGCGAACAAGTTTCCCTTCGAGGTATAAAATATTTGGTCGGCATCGGAAGCGGAAGGGCAGCCATGAAAGGATAAACGCGGCGCGGCCCGAATGGCACCGCGGCAGCCGGGCAGCCAGGCAGGCAGCCAGGCAGGCAGCCAGGCAGGCAGCAGCCAGGCAGGCAGCCAGGCAGGCGCAGGCAGGCAAGGGAGGCAGCCCGGCAGGGGCCAGGCGCAGCCAGGCAGCAGCCCGGCAGGGAGCCGCAGGAGCCAGGAGGCAGCCATGGCAGCAGCAGGCAGCGGCAGGCAGCCGGCACGGCAGCAGGCAGCGGAGGCAGGCACGCAGGCGCTGAATGCAACTTTTACCCTCGAGTCCTTCCTCGTCCTCCTCCACTCCATCCTCCGGCGTAACAAGGTCGAGGGGCTGCGGGGCGGCGCGGCCGTGCCGGACGAATAATGCAGCAGGCTGGCAGGTGCGCGTCGGTCGACCGTCTCGCCGGGCGTCGCGTCGGCCGTCTCGCCGGGGAAGTCCACGACCGTGGGGGGCCGCAATCTCTGCAGCACGCTCGCCAAATTGGCCGATAAAGGGCAACTTTGGCCGCTCGGCCTGCCTCGGCCTGCCTCGGCCTGCCTCCACCTGCCCAGATGTGATGCCGCCTCGGCGCCCCAGCCCCGCCCAGGGCGGAGGCAGGGAGAGAGAGGGCCGAGAACAGGGAACAGGGTTTAAACGTGCGTATATCGATTCGGGGGCAAGCGGCCCCTGCCGGCGGGCGGCAGGCGGCGGGGCAAGGCAAGCAAGCAACTTGGGAAGCGGAGCGGAGAACATGCGAGCGGTATTCTGCCCCGCCGAGGCGCGCCAAGGTCCTATGGAAAGCGGCCGGGCCGCCGACGCGTCCAGAAGTTTCGGCGAAACCTGTTAACCTGACAAGGGCCTCGGCGCCGCGGCCAGGCGGCCACCGCGCCGATGTGCTCGCCGGCCAGCCACAGGCCAGCCTCGCCGGCAGCCCCTTTGTGTGGCCGACTGGCCTCGCCCCGCCTTTGTCCGGCGACTAGCACTTGGCCGCGCATGTCAAAGGCCAGGCACACATCTCAGACATGCACGGCCCGGGACGTCCGTCGCCAGGCCTGGGGAGGCGTCGCGACTCCCCCCACGACGGCGACGTGCACCGCCAACAAAACAGTGTACTCACGCTGCGAGCAGTCAGGTCCGGTCCAGTAGGCGTCGCACACGCAGGCGCCGCTCTCCAGGTCGTAGGTGCCGTGGTCGGAGCAGCCCGGGAGGCACTGGTACACCTGCTGGTCCAGCAGCCCGCACGACGGGCCCTGCCAGCCGGCCTTGCAGTAGCAGCGGCCCTCCACGCAGGAGCCGTGGCCCGAGCAGTTGGGGTCCTCGCAGTCCACTGGAAACAAAGACAACAGGGTTATTTTCGACACCGTCATGCCGCTGTAAAAACGCGCGAGGCCGCTCGTCTCCCTTTTGGGTCAGTTCTTCCGCCGCGGCGGACCTAGCGGACTAGCGGCGCTGACCTGGCCTTATATCTTGCCTCTAATCGGAAACACCCCGGGCAGCGCGGGCGGGAGGTCGAGTCCGTACACTGCTCCTGTCGCTCTGTCTCTCTCGCGCGCCAGGGGCGTCCCGTCGGGGTGCGAGAGGGACAGAGCGACGGCCTCGGACGGCCTGCAGGGCTGCAGGGCCGCCACCGGAAGCCCTCCTGAAGAGCTCCCCGCCGGAAATAAAAAGGAGGAGCGAAACCTCGGCACGCCCCGAGCGGACCCGAGCGGGCCCGAGCGGACCCGAACGCACACCGAGCAGGAACAACTGAAGCGCGCAAAAGGGGGGGGGGGGAGGGGGGATGACCGCGGCGTTACGGAAATGGTTTTGCCCCAAAGGGTTTCCTTGTAATCAGTTGGCGACTTCGGATCCCGAGGAAATAGAAGGACGGCGGAAGGAAGAAGGAAGCCGAGGAGAGAGAAAGGGTGGAGGCAGTGTTTGTTGCGGGGCTGGCTGCCTGGCTGGCGGGGGCGGGCTTCGAAGCGGGCCGGGCCGGGTCTGCTTCGCTAGTGCCTTTGTAGTGGCAGTTTGTGTGGTTTGTGTTTGGCGGGGACCGGGGGGGGGGGGGGCGCTTCAGCCAGGCTGTGGTTTAGCTTAGAGCGGCGGCGCCTCGACGACAGTTCGACGCTCCAGTCAGCGCCATCTGCAGACGAGGCAACGAGGCATTCGGGGAGACAACAGTGTCAGGTGTGCTACGACACTGCCGCCAGGCCGCCACCCGGCCCGGTACACAGCCACAGGCAGCCACAGGAAACGAGGCTGGTCATTGGGAATACTCCACTCGCGGAGTCTCCTGCGCGCAGAGTATCGTCGGCCTTAATTTTTCCTTTCCGTTTTCGACACTAGTCTCCGTGTTTTAACAGTGAGGGGTCTATTCCGGGCGTCGCCGCGTCGTCCTGCGCCCCGCGGCGGTTCGGTCCGGGCGGCAGGGGACTCGCAAAAGGGATATCGCATTCGGGCCGGGCGAAAAAAAATATCTAGAGACAACAAATTGTCGCACGCCAAGCAAGGGCCTGGCTCCCCTTCCTTCTGCAGGTGGGGCGCGGGGCGCGGGGCGTGGGGCCCAGTCAGCCGGTCGGCCCTCCATTGCCCGATCAAGCTCCGAATCGATTTAACGGAAACACCGGCCTGGCCTGAGGCCCTGCGGGGGCGCTGCGGGCGGCTGCATGCGGGGTAAGCACACAGCTGCCTGGACACACGCACCCCGCCCCGCCCCGCCCCGCCCCGGCCCGAACAATTCAGCGCGCCTATTTTTCCCTCCAGTGCGCTCCGAAGAGCCCAATAAATGCCTGGAGGTGGCCGGGGGTGCCCGGCGGGGCAGCGGGCTGGTTGCGAACAGTGGTTCCGTCGCTCTGTCTCTCTTGCACTCGTAGTACGATCCCGCGGTGCGAGAGAGACAGCCGTGGGAGAGCCGCCACCGGCGCGCTCCAGGGAAAGCCGTCCACCCCCGCAGGGCGCTACCGGGCGTGCACCGAGCACCGCGCCCTGGCCGAGGAGGCCGTCGTCGTTCGGGCCGAACAGCGGTTCGAGTTGCGTTTTCCGGTGCACTCGGATACCCTCGCCGCAGCACTGTGTCGACGGCAACGTCTGTGTGAGAGCGACGCGGCCAGCCAACACCGAGATCAGCAAGATGTTCCTCCACCCCCTTCGGCTTCGGCCTTCGGCGCGCTCTGGAGAGCTCGGCGCGGCTCGGCATGACGCGTGGCAGACAATGATCGAACTTCGCCCGTGGCCCTCCAGCACGGCCAGGCAGCCTGCAACCCAGCCAGCTGGAGGCTGCCCAATTTCCAGGCTCCTTTCCAGGAGAGGTTTCTGGCGCGAAAAGGCCAGGGAAGGACCCGAAGGACAGAGGAGCGGCAGCGCAGGGACACACAGCCAGGCCCGAGGCCGAGGCCGCCGAGGCCCCGTAGAGCGGCGCGGGCTGCCTACAGGCCGTCCCCGTGGCAATTTGCAGTATTTCAGGGCCCAAGCGTGTGCAGAGGCCCCACCCCGCCCAGCCCCGCGATGACCACGCCCGTGTAGGTCGCGCCGCCCCGACGCCCCCGCAATCTCGAAATGCGATGCGATACGATTCGATTCCCGCGCCGCTCCCAGTGCCAGTGCCGCCAATTTTGTGAATATTCCAGATTATTACGCGCTCGGCGTGGCAGTGCTGGGGCAGCCCGTCGGGGCAGCGCGCCGCCGGCCGCCGTTTCGACTCTGGGGTTCCGAGTTCCGGGGCGGCGGCCAGGCCGAACCCCAGGCGAACCCCAGGCCGACCGAGCCGGCCGACCGGACCGGGGCACATTACCAGCGGACGCGGAAGTCATGGCCATTGCATGCGGAAGGGCGAAGCCGGCCAAGCGGAGGGCCGCGCGGCGAGGCGGCGTGGAGGCGGCGTGGAGGCGGCCCGGCCCAGCGGGCCCCATTTCCCAGTGCCCCACTGGTGCCCCGCCGTGCCCCGCCAGGAAACCCATATAGGGCGCCTGGTCGGCCTGACCGCCGCGGTGCGGGTAGTCCAACTCAGCCAGACTTAAGTGCTGCGCGGAAGCGCCGCAAATGTAGCCCCTTTTTTGGCCTTCTATTTGCACGCGCGGCGAATCTCTGCGAGGGGAAGGGGAGGGGAGGGGAGGGGGTGGGGCCGCCAGCAGGAAAAGGAGCAGGCGGGGCTCCATCACGGCGGCTCTTGAAATTCGGAGCGCGAGGGGATCAGCGACTGTCACTATGCGACGCGCGTTCGGCGCCCCGCCCCGCCCCGCCCCGCCCCGCCCCGCCCCGCCGCGCCCCATCCCCCGAAATACCATCATGGCGGCCGAATCTGCCAATATTGACGCCGCCTGTACCCAGCCCTAGGACCAGCAGACTGATTCCGCGGGGGGCTCTTCTCTCTCGCACTCATGGGGCGTCCCTTGTAGGTGCGAGAGAGACAGACCGACGCGGTCGAGGTACTCACCGAGCTCGCAGCCGGCCCCCTTCCATCCGGGTTGGCACTCGCAGCGTCCGGCGTTGCAGCGGCCGCGGCCGGAGCAGTCCGCCACCTGGCAGTCCCTGGCCGGCACGTCGCACTCGGCGCCCTTCCAGCCGCCCTCGCAGTGGCACAGGCCGCCGCCGTACTTGCCGTGGTTGGAGCACAGCACCGGGCACACGCCTGCAACAACAACAACAACAACAACATGAGACACAAGCAACAACAGCAGCGGCAGGCCTTCCCCGGCCAGAGAGTCGTCCAGTGTTATGCTAATGCCCAGGTGGCGGCGCGGGCTTGACGGCTGGCATTGCGAAGCAGGGAGAGAGAGAGAGAGACTCGTTGGCGGCGGACTGGCCGACACAACAAATGACAGCCGGCCGACAGGTCCCGGCGCTACGCCGCTACAGCGCTGTAATGCCAGGCCGAGCCGTCATGAGGGGCCGGCCACCGCCAATGGCCGCGCCGCCGCCACCTCGCGCGGGGAAGATTATGGACATCAGGGCCTCGGGCAGCGCGGCGGTGCGGCAGCGCCCAGCCCACACCCCTCGCCTCGGCCTCGCCTGCCGTGTGTCGAAAGCATTACGGACGGGATATCGCGCCAGTGCAGCTATGTCCAGTCCAATACCGCCAGAAATGCCACCCCGACCCGGCCAAGCGCCCCGTCGGCCCGGCGCCCCGGCGGCGTAGTTTGTGCGTGGGACGAGAAGTGAGCTTTGGTCACGGAGGCCTGCCTGCCTGCCTGCCTGCCGGCGGCGGCAAGGTGGAACCTGGAACCTCCGGCGCACATGGCAGGTCATGGGAGCGAGAGCCAGGCCCCCGCCACCCCTTTGGCACACCCCTTTGGCTGCCTCGGAGACGTATTTCATTTCCTGCATAACACCAACATAACGACAGTGACACACACACACACACACACACACCAGGAAAGCAATACCCGCCCTCTTGTTCACCTATCCATATTTCTCCCCCTCGGCCTCGGCCACGGAAGCGTTAGCGACATGTCCTTTCGGGATAAAACAGTGCGCTTACGGGGGGCTGTAATCCATCTGGTCGGTGTGTGTGTGTGTGTGTGTGGGGGGGGGCACTGGGGTTGGGCTGGGCCACTGACCGCACAGGTCCGCAGCGCCCGGCAGCGCCGCACCTGGCCGATGATGGCGTGACCTGCGGTCGTATCTCGGTGCGGTGCGCGCCCTGCCCGGCCCTGCCCGAGCCCCGAATCCTTCATCCCTTTGCCTTGATCCTCGCCTATTCATCCCCGGCCCTGCTCGGCCTCGCTCGGCCACGCGCGGCCATCCCGATCCCTGATAGGGACCGCTGCCCATCTCATCAGCGCGCCGCCGCGCCAGCCGCCGGCAAGCCGATTCCGACCGGTGCTGTCGTCGCGACGTCCCTCTCGCACTCGGGGGCATTCCGTAGGGGTGCGAGAGGGACAGTGCCTCCCCTGTCCGTCTGGTCCACGTCGTCCATCAAAAGCAGGGCGTGACGCGCGCGGCACGACGCCCAGCGCGACGCGCGGCAGGACGCGCGGGGACAGTCAGAGACAAAAGGAAATGAAAAAGTAAAATCCCATTATTACGACGGGACGACGGCCGCCATCCGGACCGCCTCGCTGGACCACCCCGCCCCCCTCACGTCCCGGACGGACTGCCACATCGGCACGGCACGTCACCCGCGCGGGGGTGGAACGAAAAAAAGGGCCAACTACTTTTTAAAAGCGACCCCGCCCCACCTCGGCACCATCAAACACCCACCCCGCCCCGCCCCGCCACGCCACGCCCCGATCCCGCATTCTACACCATTTGCGCCGCGGCCGGCCCACCCCGGCCCGCCCCCTGCCCACACCTGCGGCAGAGCGGTCAGTCAGAGGAATGGAAGAGCGGCCGGTCGCCAAAACGAGGAACACAGAGTGCTTCCATTTCCCTGCGGCAATCAATAATCGAAGCGAGAGGAGAAGCGAGGGCGAGTGTCGGACTCGCTGTTTGGATGGCACGGCCGGTACGGCCAGCTCGCCTCGGTCGGCCGGCCGGACGCACGGACGGCGCCTGGCCCGAAATGGTAATGGTCCCCGCTACATACCCAGATGCGTGGGCGTATGAACCCGGTCTACCGAGAAAACCACTCCTCTCAGTAGGGACGCCCCGTCACGTGCTGGTGTATCACCGACATGACAGGGCGGGCCCGAAAGGCAGACGATCACTTGTGGTCCAGCCGTTAATCGCAATCGTAATGGAGGATAGGCAATCCGAAAGCAGAGGTGTCGGCGAGTTGCCTACCCAGCAGGCGTCATGCCCCCCCCCTCTCTCACTGCACGGGGCGCCGCACGAGTGCGAGAGAGAGGGAGAGAGACAGCGACGGCCATTAGCCATGCCGAGGGGCGGACAGTCGTCCTGGCCGGACAGTCCTCACGGCTAACGACGGGCTGACACGTCGTCGCACGCAACGCCCCGCCACGCCAGTGGGGTGTCGGGCCGAGTCAGCGCGCTTACCCAGCCGCCACGCTGCGCCACGCTGCGCCACGCCACCACTCGGCTATTCCCGCACCGAGGCGGCCGGCGCCCCGCGGGACAACAGTGTCCAAAGTATCGACGCGGTGACGCGGACGAGGTTGGAGGCGGACAAGCCGTCTTGGGGTCCCCGCCGTCGCCCACTGCACTGCGCTAATTCGTCCCCTTGCCCCCCTCCCCCTTTCCCGGCAGTGGCGTGCAGTCCGCCCAAAGGCCAGGCGGAAAGGTCAATGAGGCCCCCCTCCCAGGGACTCCGACGAACGCGTCCCCACGGCGGCGTGGCGCGGCGTGGCCGGGGAGCCGAAAGGCACCGAAAGGCCGGCCGGCCGTCACGTGTCAAGGTTTTTGACAACGATTCCAGCGGCCGGCCCCCCTCTCCCCTTTTTGGCCAACACGCGGTCGCTCCGATATGTCAGCCGTCATCCAGTTAGTTAGCCGCGCCCCGCCGCCCGCCACGCCACTTTACGACGGACCAGGCTCGCTAAAACGCGGTCATGTTTTCCCCGGCGGGCCGCGGGGCGCCGCGAGGGGGAGTCGCCAAGCTCGACAACGCGGCGCGGCAACGCGCGCAACCGCACTCAAATTAGAAGCACTCAAACCGTCCGTCCATTGCCGCGTGTCGACGCGTCGGGCGGACAGACGGACAGACAGACAGACAGACAGACAGACAGACAGACAGACAGACAGACAGACAGACAGACAGACAGACAGACAGCAGTACTCACTTTTGGAGCAGTCGATGCCTTCGTAGCCGTCAATGCAGTCGCACTTCCCCAGGTAGCAGGATCCGTGGCCGCTGCAGTCGTTGGGGCAGGTGGTGGACACGCCCTCGGCCTCCGTCACCACGAGCGTCACCTCCTGGGGCCGCAGGTCGTCGTTGTACACGGACAGGAACCAGCGGCCCGTGTCCAGGTACTGCAGCAGCGACACGTTGACGCGCATGGAGCGGCCCATGCCGCCCGCCACGGAGGAGGTCGAGGTGGCCGTCATGGGGTCGGCGCCGAGGGGTAGTCCGGCCACCACGCCGCGGCGGCGGCGCATCGGTGGTGGCGGCGGTGGAGGCGGTGGCTGCAGACAAAAGGCAGTGTTGTGTTTTATTTCAGATTAAAAAAGTTTCCAGTTTTCCGCCGAGTTTGAACAATGGTTGGTCCACAAGGACCCGGCTGGCCGTGGCGCTCCAGCCGTGGCTCTTACCGTGGCTTGGCTGTTCCTGGCTTGGTCCATGGTCCACACGTGGCGCGCCTTCGAGTCGTTGAACGGCGGCGCCATGAAGCTGACGGCGTTCAGGTCCACGTCCTCGGCCACGTCGTCGTCGTCAGGGTACTCGTGGTCGCCGTAGTAGGAGTGCGACGACACGAAGGCCGCCACGTGGTCCAGGGAGCGGCGCGCGCGGTGGTCCAGGCGGCCGGCCTTGATGAACTCGACGAAGTCGTGCTGCGTCACGCTGGGGCCCACGTTGCGCCGCCCGTACACGGCGAAGTTGGCGCCCCACGGAATCGTGAAGTTGAACCGGATGAAGGCGGGCTGCTTGTTGCGGAACTCCGAGTTCCAGAACTGCAGGGCAGGGATGGTGGCCGAGTGGGGTACGCCCAGCTCGCGCATCTCCACGACGGCGGGCCAGCCGCCCACCGCGACGCCCGCCGCCGTCAGCGGGGGCACGGCGGGCTGCAGGGGCTGCAGCGGCGGCTGCTGCTGCTGTTGTTGCTGCTGCTGCTGGATGCTGGGTAGGTCCGGTGGGCGGTCGGGGGTGTCGGCCGGCGCGCGCGAACTCGCGCTCGCGTACTGCACGGCCGTGCTGGTGGGCAGTGATTCTGCAAAGAGAGCAAGCGTCAGTCAGTCAGTCGCGCGGTCCCCCCTGGCGCATCAGTTAGTGAACACAAAAGAGGTCAGCCGGCCGGCCAGTCCCGAGCGGGGCCGGGCCGGGCCCCTCCCCGGAGACAGATTTGCTCGTGGCGGCGTGGGGAAGGGGGAAGGGGGCGTCCCAACACCGGTCCCAGCGGGGCGGACGGTCCCTGTCCACAGGCCAGCGCGCTGGCGGGCTGCCTAGTCGATAAGTCGATTCGATAAATCGATTAGTGAAGTGACGCGAAATCGATTGACGGTCCGGCCGGAACGCGGAAAGGGAACTGTGGCGCTGCGACTCGGCGCGACTCGCTGCGATTGCGCTGCTGGGTTATGCAAGTGAGGCTGCACTCGACGCCCCGCTCCTCCAAGGAGGGCCCCGCCAGCCAGCCAGCCCCTTGGCGCCATCAGCGCGGTCATCGCCTTCAATCAGCACCAGGCTGCCGCCGAGGAGCAACCAACACTGTGCCTTTTGTTTTCACGGCGGGAACAAACCGATCGGGGCAGAAGAGGACAGCGCGAGGGAGAAAACAAAGAAACAAAGCACGACGTAACAATATCGGCAGGCTGATTGAGTTGCCGAGGACGGGGCCTCCTCTCCTCCCCTTTCCTTGACACGTGGTGCCGCTGTGCCGCTGCAGTCAGTGACCGGCCAGACAACACATTCGATTTGACCCGAAGTAACCTCCGGGAGGGCCCCGGCGTTAATTGAGTGAGGCGCTGGGCTGCGTGGCACTGCGTGGCGGCGGGCCCTCCGTCTCTCTCGCACCCGTTCCGGACCAGCCGGACGCCCCATGGGCGCGACAGAGACAGGGCGAGAGAGACGAGCGCCGTGTGCCAGCTGCGGCTAAAGGCGCAGTGTCCTGCCCTGCAGTGTCCCTCCTCGCCGCGCAGCCGGCACTGCCGGCGCAAACGGCGCAAACCCGGATTGCGTAACTCCATTGCGGTGCCGCAATTACCCCGGCCTGCCTGCCAGCCCCGTCTGCCCGCCTGGCGGCCGGCCTGCTGCCTGCCTGCCCTGCCTGGCCTGCCTGGCCGACCCCGGGACGCACATGTCGGAGAGATCCTGAGCAAAGCGTCCATCTGCCGTCTTCATTTAGCGAGGACGGCGACAGGCGCCGTGCAGATGGTTTGGGGACAGTCTTACCGCCAAGTTGGTCAAAACGGCCAAAACGCAAAATGTCGCTGCAAATTGAAACGCCCACTTCTCGAAAACAGGCCGCTGCCGTTTTCTGTCGTGTTTTGCGCGCGGGTTGGGTCGGCTGAACTGCTGAACCGGGCTGAACGTGCCTCTGTCGGCTGTTGGAGCACTCGAATCGATGGGGGAATCCTCGCCCAGGTGAGTTGGGGCACGGAGCGCCGTCTCCAAGTTGCTGAGCATCCCCTTAGGCCCCACCGCAAGCGCCCCCCCCCCCCCCCCCCGCCCTCCCCAGGCAACCTCAATCCCGGCCCCGCACTGCCGGCCGCGGAGCGCCGCGGAGCCACCGGAACACGCCGGAAACAGATAAATAACCGCGCAGCGAGTCCGCCAGTCCGCCCGGAGCCGAGTCCGCCCGGAGCCGAGTCCGCCCGGAGCACAGTCAAAACGAGCATTTAGGGAATTCGTCTTGGAAGACGAAGGCGGGGGCCGTGCCGACCTTGGAGCGGCGGAGCATGGCGGCCGGGTGGAGCGGCAACGCGCCAGGGCGGCGCCCTGTGCCACGGAGTGCCACGGAGTGCCACGGAGTGGCAGCCCCCTTCCGCCCCGCAATGCACCGCACCCTGCGCACGGCCAGTGCGTTCGTTCGCAAGGCGCCGTGACGTCACGCCGCTTCCTGGAGCGAACGCGGCCGTCGCCAGGTGCTCGGCGCCCTCCTCGAGGCCCTCGTCGAGGCCGTCGACCAGGCCCTGCACCGCCACCCCGCCAAGGGAATGCAGCGGCGAGCAAGGCGGCGAGGGCTGGCGCCGCTGGCGGTGGCGGCTTGCGTGCGCCGGCTGCATTACCACGTATCTCTATTCGATTACATGCGTCGAATTTCAATACGAATCGGAGCACGCGACTGCCTAAGTGAATTTGTATGAGACGGCAGCAGTAATAAAACGCTCGTGCAAGGCTGGCTGGCTGGCGGCGAGCAGGGGGAGGGCGGTGGGCGGAGCAGGGCGGGGCGGTGACAGAGGTGGTGGTTATTTGGAGGCTCCCAGGAAACTTTGGGCGTGAGTACCGCCGCGTGGCGCCGCGGACTTGTCCAACTACTCACTGGCCCACTCAGCGCTACCCGGGGACGCACAGTGGGCCAGAGGCCGGTGGAGGCGGCCAAAACTCTAGACGCGTTTTGAGCTCCAGAGTCGCCAAACAGGCCTCGAAACGAACATGTGACCCCACCAATGGATTCCTCGTTCGGAGAGCAATCCATTGGTGGGGTCACACGTTCGGTTCGAGTCCCATTTAGCGACTCTGAAGCTCAAAACGCGTCTAGAGTTTTGGCCGCCTCCACCGGCTTCTGGCCCACTGTGGGACGGGAACTCGAACCGCGCCGCGCCGAGCAGCACGACAACATCACGCTGCAGCTGTGCCGCGCGCGACGGCACCCCCACGCCGTCAAAGCCCCGCGCCGTCAAGCCTGGTGGCTCGGCACCAGTATCGTGACCGGAAATTGGGCCCCGGCACGGGGGCGGGGGCGGCGGGGGGCGGACGGGTTGCCAGCAATCTGCATTAATCGACACGGGCCGCTCAGGCCGCCTCACTTATCGGCAGCCGAGCCCCCTTCGGTTCCCTTCGGTTGCCTTCGGTTCCATTTCGGTACCCCTCGGCCCGGGCGCGCTGCCGCGCCTGGACCTGGCCCGATACGAGTCGTCGTGGCACGAATATGAAAACGAAATCGGGGGCGTCGCATCGCCTCACGTGCTCGCCCCCGCCTCCCCCTCCAGTCCGCCCCGCCCCGCGCGTTCCAAGTGTTGGTCGTTAGCGGACGACGTGACACTCCCCGCAATGGCGTCACGGCCAGATTAGAACCGGCCGAGCCGAGAAAACGCCCCGACGGGCCTTCTTAAGACTTTGGCTAAACTGGCGCGGCGGCGCGCCGCTAAGGCCAACCTAATTTCTTCATCTGGAATTGTCGCTCGTTCCGAAGTGGCCGCGCGGCGCGGCGTGACCTCCTTCCCGGGGATGACGGCGACCTTTATCTGTTTCCATTAGGGCCGGCAGGGCCGGCAGGACGGACCTGAGCTGATTACTAATACGCACCTTCCGTCGGCGAGGTCTGCGAGGGCGCCAGCCCCAGCGAGGCCTCGTCCCTCACGGCGTCCTTGTTGTCCTGCACGTTGATGGAGCAGCCGCTGGGGTCGAGTCCGGGTCGCATGGAGCCCACTGCTGCAACAAAAGGAGGACGGCGGTGTGAGTGAGTTTCGGAACGCAACAACTGTCGCGCCGCCGCGCCGCACACACCGACACTGGCTGGACGCGAATCCAAAAGTCCACCGCCAACTTTGCAAGCGGCTGGCTGCCTGGCTGCCTGCCTGGCTGCGTGTGCCACAAGTTACGGCGTTGCCAGCTCGGCCAGGGCGGCGCGCTCACGAGAAGAATGAAACAGTCCCTTTTGTTTATCCCTTCGGGACTGCTGGTTGGCGCGCCACGGCACACGCGGGGCGGGGGCGGCTCGGTTTGGGCTGGGGGCAGGCAGGTGAGGGCGGCGGGGGCGGCGGGGGCGGCCGCAGTCCATGAATTAATAAAGGAGACAAGGAGGGCGGCTTCAGCCTGCTTCAGCCTCGCTGGCCGCCGCCTCAAAAAGAATTTCGTCATGGGACTGGCAAGCAGCTCCACTTAGAAAAAAATTGTCGGGAGCTAAAAAAAAAGGTACGAAAAAGAAGGAATAATTCACCTCTGCGACTTTAACTGTCCAGGAGACTAAAGCACAGGGCCGGTGTGCCTGCCTGGCGGCGGTGACTCGCCTCGCTCTCCGAGCTTGCCAAAATTGCGCACCACGGCCCCGCCCCGCCCCGCCCCGCTGCACCCCGCCGCCGACCAGCCCTCCAGCATCTTGTGCACCTTGCGGGCAACTCGGTGGCGGCGTTGCCAAGTCGCCCGCAGTACGCAGTTATACGCAGTGCACTGCGGCCGACGCTCCGCGCTCCGCGAATCTCGTTCGAGATCTCGTTCGAGATCTCGTTCGAGATCTCGTTCGAGTCGCGGCGGGCGGAAACTCCTTCTCCTCGCCGCAGACGGGCATCGCTCAAACTCTGGGGCGGCGAAAATTGGCGAATGGCGGTGAGGGTGGGGGCGGGGGCGGGGTGGTGGAAATTCGGCACCCTCCCCACGCCTCCCTGCCCCCGGATAGAAAATAAGTCCGGACAACTACGGCTGAGTGCGCTGCTGCGCGGTGCGCGGCTGGCGGCGGCAGGGCGGCGGGGGGCACGACGCCCAGGGGGAGGGGAGCGGCGCGACGACGACTTCCTACAAGATTTAATGAAATGTCAACTCGGGAAATGAGCAGTATAAATATCGGGGTGAATCTCAACTAATGCTGCCGACGGTGTACGACGCGCACCGCCGTGTTGGTGTGAGTGCGTGCATGTGTGTTGGTGTGTGTTCTCGTGTCCCTGGAGGACTTCATCCCTCCCCGTGAGGGCGCTGGAGGGCAGTTCTGCCTTGGGGCCAGATCCTCCCCGCCGCCCTGGCAAGGCCTGCCGGGGCGTGCCGGGGCCCGCCGCCCCAAACTCACACACAGAAGTCCTCGGCCCGCAAACAACGCCGTGCTCATCGTCTTTGAACGAAAAGCGAGAGTGCGACGGACGGACGGGCGGGCGCACTCCCGCCACTATTACACCGAAGCCAATTTTCATCTGGAGTTTCAAGGAGAGAAACAGCGGAGGCAGCTGGTGGTGTGGGGGCCCGCCGAGGGCCCGCGCCGCGCCTGCACTGTGTGCAACCACCCTTCTGCCGAGCGCTGCGCCCAAGGCTGGCCCCGGCTCGGCTCCGCCCCGACACCACTGCGCTCCAAAAGGCTGGCCCGGCTGGGCCGCGCCGAGCCGAGCTCAACTTTGGCAGCATCTTGGGTGACGGGGCCAAACTCGTAAAAACGCAAGTTTGCCGAGGCCCGGGACGACAGGGCAAAAGGGGCGAGCTAAGTGGAGGAAGAGGCGGGGATAAAAGGGACCGATCGGGAAGGGGGCGGGGCGGGCGGGGGCGGGGCGGGGGCAGTGGTGGCCGCCAGTGCCGCCACGTAACATCTGCTCGGCAAAACAACCCCCGGACTGGACTGGTCTGGGTCTGGTCTCGGCCTGGCTCCTTAGAAGAGAGCAAACTTTTAGTTCTTGAGTCGTGGGCTGGGCTGGCTACGGCCGGCTTCGACTCCGTGTCCCTCCCGGAGTTCGATAACGAGATGCGACGCCCCCGGAGGGCCGCCCCGCCCCGCCCCGCCCCGCCCCCGCCCCGCCCCGCCCCGCCCGGAGGTACTCGCCCGGAAGCGCGCCGACGTGCGA